TGAACAAAAAGAACCATATCTATCAAAAATACTGATGTTTAGGCGACTACACTTAACTTGGTCGAGAGACAACTTGCCTTGTTGATCGGAAGTCACCCGTCTAGACTGACTGTAGTTGGAAAATTCAATGTGTCTCACTCGTTCTACACTCTGAGTCTACTCAGATATTATATGATTTTAAAAGAAAACCTGCCACTCAACATGAAGTCATTAATGTTCTCCACCCGGTATTTAATGGCTCTGCAGTAGCGTAAATAAGCAGGCATTCAGTAACAATTAAACTTCAATCTACGTAAATCGATGACTTATTCTCGCAAACATTCGCATAATGAAAAAGGACTGTAACTTAGGATTAAATGAAAGAACCACCAAAGAGGTCCAATAAATATTCCAACAATGTCTGGTGCCCTAGATTTATAACGAGAGCATTAGCTTACCAGTTGTTGTTCACATTATAAATTCATGTTGCCATTTTCTTGCAGGATACGTTTGAGTAAATGCTAAGAGTTTGCCGTTTTCTCAAGATAATAGAGATATTTCCTGAAACGAGTCATAACTTCAGATATAATCTTATAAGTAGTTCATATATACAAACCTAATAGGACTAGGGAAGATTAAGTGTGTATAGGTTACTGATCAAGAATTTTCCACTAAAATTACTTCTATTCTTCCATAGCTGGCAAAAGATTTTTCTCCGCCACAGTTGGCCATTGCTGAAGTCTGTGGCTAATCGACTTTAAGTATCTTGCGCAGGCAATTGTTCATAAACAACCTTACCATTGTAGTGACTCACATTTATCACGAGAACACGACTGGTTTAATAAAAACATTTATTAGTATAACCAATTGTACCAGTGTTTGTTTTAATGTGCTTTTCTTTGACTGTGCTAATGACAGCTATATTGGGCTTCCATTCTTGTTCTTACACTTCGATTGTAATTTCGCGCGAATTCGGTTACCTTCTGTAACCAAGTTTGTATCCTGGCACGATCTCGGTATCCTTTCGATGCCACGAGATCGCCAGTGAATAAATCTTGACTTGGTTCATTTTCTGCCTTCTGATATTTGGCTTATTGGGGTTTTTATGGAGTCAATTGGAACGAGCTTTTTGGTAGCGGTGATCACAGTCAATCGCGACTCGACTCCACGCAACAAACTCATCAGATTTCTCGTGTTATTGTACCAGATATGGTTTTTCCTAATGGTTCACTTATTTCTGACAAAATTCCTTGTAAATCTGAGGAAAATATATTGAATGAACTAAGCCATGATCGAAAACCTGATGTAGTTTTAATAGATGCTGATTTTTCTAACGATCCTATGCTCTACAATGACATTCCTAATGAATTTGAGGAAACTATTTCAGAAGAAGAAAATCGTGATGTCAAACCAAATATTATTTGTTTTCATAATGCATTTGTTTCTTGTGGGAAACTTGTTTACGAGTATTAAATGCTCTCGATTCTAATTACAATTCAGATGATTTCATATAAACTCTTGTTTATCCTTGTCATAAAGTCACTCCACAAGTATACTTTGGTCAATGAGAGAAGTATGTTTTAAATGAAGCTACATTATTCATAACTTGCAGATATGGTGATCCGACATTATTTCGTGGGGTAGAATAGTCTGAATGTCTATGGTCCAAATTCTAGGTAGCAGTAGTCTCAGTACTCAACAGACATGATAATCGTACACAATCACAGGAAGCAAGTGAGTCTTTTCCGATTTCGGTTGTTAATTATAATACTAATGCGTGCATTCTAGATAATCCGGAGTCTTTGTTCAATACACTGTCGGACAGACACAGGGTGAATTTAAGAAGAAGACGTACGATCAATTACAGGCGCTTGGACTACAATTTAAGCTGTGGTGGATGTGGTGTTTGAATGAATTGATGATTCCTCATGTAACAAACTGTTATTTGAGAATAAATTATTATTATTATTACTTGTTGAATGCTTGATTTCGAATTCTAATTACAGTACATTTGTTTGTGGTTATCTAGTGCTTCTTGATCCAATTACGTTATTTCTGGGATCCTTAGTTCATACTATAATTCAAATACTCCTAATCATCATAGAAGTCTCCGTGGAGGATTTTGCGACTCAACTCCCTATAATAGAGCTATATGATAGCGTAGATCTTGTCCTGTACTCGAAAGTGTCGATGAAAATTGCACAACGTTTTCCTGTTTAAGCTGTCCATTACTTTCTTGATTTCCATGAAGTCGATGTGCAGAAACAAATTCCATCCTAACACTTCATTAATTGTGGTCAACAGTGCAAAGACTCAATTTGTGAACGGCTGATCGTAATGAAAGCCAGCTTGCCGTTATATAATACAAAATCTACACTGTTTTTACTTATTCTGGCATTAAAAGTAGTGTAATATCTGTATTTTATGCACATGCGAAGACCTAAGATAAGCGAAATATTGACGAAGTATTCCATTTTCCAGTCCTTTGGTAGTGGCATTGGACCCCAACTGTACGACCTTTGAAGCCGAGTTTATAATTTTTGACAACATTATTACTCAACGATTGACACAAAAAGGTTAACAATGGAGAACACGGGAACATTCATTCATCCAATCGGATGGCATGGCTCAGCCTCATAGACATGGTCGTTTAGTATAAGTTGTCTTTACTCACATTAAATGAACAATTCTATTATTAGAATGAGTTTTGTGGAGAATTTAGGAAATTTCACAGGTCGAAATCATGAGTCAATTGAAGCTAGACCACCATGGAAAACCTGGAAGCAGTGGACGGTCCTTACGTCCTAGTATGGGACTCCTCAGCAGCGCTCAACTTCGTGGACTGGTTGAAGTTAGACATTAACATTGTTGGATGCCGGCTCAGTGGTCTAATGGTTAAGTATTCTATTTTTAGCCTAAATGTGTTCTTTATAAACGCCAAACGTTTCCGCACGTATTGTTACGATAGAACGAGTCAGAAGAGAAAGTGATATGACATGCACGTTAGATTTTATAGAATAAGCATTCACAACATGACATCCCTACAATTTTAGAATTAGGTCTATTATTATAATAGCACTAATAACGAAGTATACTATAATCCTCAAAAGTCTTTTCGAAGTAAGCGTATTACAACTGTAACGAAGTTTCAGTAGGAGCAGAAAGATTCCCATAACAAATAATTCTGTTCTGTCAATCTTTATAGTAATAACGGATGTCCATATCTGAAAGCGCCCGCTTAACCATATTCACCATATCACGTTTGTATACACCGTTCAACTAATTTTGTACAACACCCTGTCAGTTTATATCAAAAGCTTTTAAACGTATCCACAATTCGTCAAATATATATTTGAACCCCTTTGTTCCTTACATCTAGTTTGACTTGCTTTTTAATCCTCGATTAACACGCTGTGACTAACAACATTGCTTAGCAGCAATGTAGATCTGCAACATTTTTATTTGAGTGTCAGATTTCGATATCTCGGTCCGTATACTTCTGAGCGTTAGCTTCCTCTGCTCTTATTCAGGTGCCTGTGGTCGTTGCCTTCCGAAATATTCATCGAAAGAGTCCAGGAGCGTTGAAAACTCTGTGAAACTTTTTGTCTGATCAGCGCTGGATAGAAGTTTCAAATAAACATCTCGAAAGTAAAGAGTCTTGAGTAACATTTCCAACTAGATGATGACCTATCCTTGTATTATTCTTACCATTCCAAAAACTCCTGGCCATCGAAAACACATCAATTTTCTGTTCATGAAGCAAGCTTGTACTAAAGCATTCTTTTCCCACTTCGTGCAGCTTCCTATTGTTCAAACTATCTTTCAGATTTAATCAGTAGTTATTACAAGAGTTTAGGAGGCCGATTCCGGAGTTCATTTGGAAGATTTATGTTTGTAGTGACATTGGACTATAACCACACAATCCTCAAAGCTTAACACGAGACAACTCGGAAAAGAGATATACAATATTTAAGGCGGAGAAATATATAACGATGGAGAAGGCGCGAACAAGGAATTGAATGAATCGGGGTTGATCGAATGGCATAACTCGGCCATGCAGGCGTGGTCCCTGCTGAATATTACCTTATATCTTTTATTCATATTAAAAATATTATTCTTTCACTAGCCTAAGCTTGCTCTCCATCATGTATTTGTAGTTGTTACGATACAGTGATTTGGTGTAGACGATGATGTGATTTCCACGTAAGATCTTATAGATTAGGCAGCTATATCATGACAAATCTACGATTTTAGGATTAGGTCTATTATTAGAGCAGTACTTATATCATAGTACACAATAATCCTACATGCTTACCTCTCTATTATTACCTTTAAATAGACTTCATTGTGGTTTTAACTTATTATCATATATCTTATAACAATTCAAACTTGCAGCTGATATTTACTTTGAACTAAGGCTTTCTCAGCTCTCTTTCCTATAAAATCTCCCACTACTTCCCTGATCTCTGTTCGTATAGTCGTATAAGTCTGGTATTCCTTAGTATGGTACTATAAACATATATATAACTTCGCGTATGCTAAGTGAGATAATCCTGTTGCTCATAATCATCTTGGCTACACGTGGATCTCCTTGTCTTTCGTCACCCTCGTTTCTTTCTTAGTCAGTGTTTCCCAATGATGCATTCACACTTAATGTTCTACGTCCTGACATCAGTGTTCAGATAGCTTGTTAGGATGGTGTAGCGCTAAATAAATCCCCGAAACAAACAATTCCGTACGTCTTCGACGTTGAGGCTGACCTGATTATTTTCACTGGTTCACCTAGCTGAAGGCATTAGGTCGCAAATCCACAATCGACCACGAATGGTTACGCCATGCTATGCGACTCTTGCAGTCGGTGGACATTCTTGCTTGTACTGCATTCTCCGTTTTATAGCCTGTGATTAGTCTTTTTTGCTAAACGAATTGAAAAAATTCAGTACATTCACTTTTTGGCACAGAGAACAAAATTTAGGCAATAGGAAGTGTGAATTGTTTAGTGCCTTCAGATTCTGGACCTTGAGCGCGATGATATAAACGCGGACAGTTTGTTAGTCAGGCAAAGATGTTAGAAGGAAGTGCTTCCAATGACGAAGTGAAGAAGATGTTGCCTCCCAAACAAACATTTTTGTCACTCTCCTGGGATTACTTTAAGTTGTTTCTGACATGCGCTTCCATTTACGGCGTAGGATATTTTCGACTTAGTACTACCTGGGTCTTGGTCGGGTCGCTTGGATACTTCGTTTTGCAACATACTAGGAATAAGCAGTCAAGGTTGATAAGCTCACTCAAAGCCATTGGAGAAGACGAAAAAGCATTCATTATCCAAAATTTTACCGTAAGAGACCTTCCGTCTTGGGTAGGCTTAACATCAATGAGATCTCATAATGTAAATTATTTACTAAGGTTTACTTTCCGGATGTTGAAAGAGCGGAATGGCTAAACAAAGTAATAAAGTCTAAAAATGAGATACTTTGTTAGGTTATTAAACGAATGTGGCCATCCATTAGTGAGTACGCGAGAGATATTATCATTGCATCTATCGAGCCTGTCGTTGCACAAAATCTACCAACTGCACTAACACCTTTTAATTTTGCTACTATTGACTTAGGTGACACGGTAAATGGGTTTTGTTAGTCATTTGTATTGTAGCCCCCTAGAATCGGTGGAGTGAAAGTTTATATGAATGAAAACATCAGAAAGGATGAAATCGTTATGGACCTAGACCTTATGTAAGTATTGCTTTATTTAATGCTTGCACAGGCTATACAGTGATGCTAGAATCAAAGTAAACTTAGGAAAAGTCAAGGCGGGAGTGAAGGAGTTTGAGGTACTTATTGCTAATTCATATCTTTCAGGTTATTTATCCCTGTATATCAACACATTTAGTCAAAGTGGCATGTACCAAGTCCATAGTTGTTTATCTAATTAATTTAAATGCCCCTAAATCGTTCTGAAGTTTGATATTTGAGGCTGGATAGTTCAGAGTATCCTTGTTTTTCGTTGTCCAACTAAGAAATTTTTCATCCAATTATTGATCCTAATGTTTATTTGAATACCAACCAAGTATATAAGTATCAAACACCCTGTTTTATTCAATGAGTTAAATCCGCAAGCAGTTTGTAATCCGAAGGAACGGCAGCTTTTTCATTTATACGAAACGTCAGAAAGACTAGAAGTTCCCTTAAAATCGTACTACCCTCCGAAGATTACTAAGGCTTTGTCTAAGTGCTCTTATAGTATACTAAAAGCATCTTTGCACTAAATGAAATGAGATAGTTTCAACGAAAGTCTAACCATCCTTTCATCAGAAATAAATTCAAATCAGTTCCTCATTGCTATGGTATCGCCCTCCGAGGTAGTGACAAACAGCAATACAAAGGCTTAGTAACGAATAACACGACTTACTTTAGTATCCTCAAACATATTCCATCTAGTTCGGATAGTTTAGCTTTTAAGTTCGTTTAATAAGTGGACCTGGAGGAATTCACCCTCTATTCTGTAGGTCCTGCAAAAGCAACTAAATAATACTCCTTTTTGAAAGCTGTCTTCAGCAAATTTGCTGAGATATCACACAGTCCTATGTTACAACAATTCGACCCTTATCCAGCTTCTAAACAAAAATAATCATTTTAGACCTCTGGAAGAATCGAAATTAGTGTCCTTTTTAATCATTTTAAAGTTATCTTTACTGTAAATTGTATTCTCTGGTTTTATAGTTTTTGCTCTCAAGGGTCGACATTTTTTTATTAGATTGTTCAGTGTGTCTGTTTTATTTATCAGGGTCATACCAACACGTAAATTTCCTAAGCCTTGTTGGCGATTTCGAGTATGATCCTCTGGATAGTTTCATTACGAGATTAATGGGAATGTTTACACACACTAAAATAAGACTATTATATCGTGCATATTGCTATTCTTAAATACCATGCTTAATATAATTGATTCCAAAGCGTTAGACAATGTGCAAAGAATATGTACTTTAGCATGTACTCAACCTATTTTCTCAAACTGTTCGAAATAACAAGAAATGAACTCCAAGCTTATATTATGCTTAAACTAAGGTTGTGAAAGTGCAATAATTCCTTTTAGCTAACTAGAACTCGTGGACTAATCACAACTTTTAAAACTTTGGTTATTTGACTACCAAGCTGGAATACAGCTTTGAGATAAAACTAGAAGTTTGAACATGGTTTAAACATAAATTTTTTCAGGAAAGTGGCATTAATCGTTCAAATGTACTTCAGTGTTTTAGTAGTGACTACTAAACCGATGTTCAGGGATGGTGCTGATAATCAGATGCTAGCTGAAATTGATAGACTTTTTTGATTCTTTAGGAAATTTTTCCTGAATGTCTGCAGTTGGGTGGTAAATACTAATGCTGTCATTCGTGAAACTAAGACTATATATTTATTATATTCTATTCAGTTGACTAATGAAATATTTTTCACTTTCCATCTTTATTTCATTTGCAATGTAAGCTGCGTGGTACACTACGTGTTGTTATGAAGCCTTTAGTTCCAAAAGTCCCGTTCGCTGGTGCGGTTACTGTGTGTTTTCTGGATAGTCCAGTCAGTAATTATTGGTATATTTCTTTAGTTTCTGTACAATTGCAAACTTGTAGTATTCTATATGCAATCACGAATAAGTTGTTTAGATACCGCCTTTTAACAATTTGGTTCATTCTGTTTTTTCTATTAAAAACCCAATAACGCCTTAGGAATTTACCCTGTATCTAGCTGAAAATAGTTTTAGCTTAACTATCTTCTCTTTAACCACTATATTTAAAGCGGTTTTATTGCTGACTAGTACGATTTAGTCGGAAGTCATAATTGAGAAAAGGACTACTAAAGGAAATCCATCCACGTTTAGCAGTGCTAAGTCTCGAATTTCATTTCAAACACCATAAGTCGACCTCACTGGGCTCTATAATAATACAGTTTTATATATTGGTATGCTTTTGTGGATAAATGAATACGCTACCTTAAAATCATCTGCAGACGGAAAACGTTTACGCACGCTGATTCAGTTTTAATTATCGTTTATAAAAGCTATAAAGAGCACAAGACCTAAAACACCTTGCAACACACCACTCATGACCAGATAGGATGCCGAGAAAATGAATTTCGTTTCATCTTCTTGATGTTTATGACGAAGAAGAGATTCAAAACACCTACTCCTTGAATATTTGATGCTGAGATATTAGTCTCCCGTTAGGAAACTAATATCCGATATTAAGTCCAAAAAATAGGAAGTTAAAGGAGTCAAAGTTACAGTTTACCCAAGATTTAAATCTAAGGAAATGATATTACGAATTAGTTATACGTTCCTCAGCTAGTAAATAATCGGAAATTTCTTGACGTTCAATTCTTTTCTATTAATCTATAGATTTCCACATGCCTGTATTTGTGCAAGTCATTCTTATCTCGAGATTTGAAACGATATTACATGTATTGTTTCTAGCGGTTATGATAAGTGTTTACTTTCCGAGAAGTTTAAACAGTTTTAGTAGACGTACTAGAATATCAGGTCCGATACAAATGAAATAAATGGATGCGATTTCTACTATTCTACGGTCCCTTAAAACCTTAACGTAGGCTATGGCTTTACCGATTTGGAAATAAGTTAAGGAAAACATTGTTTGTAGTTAATACTTTTGTGTATAACTTCTGATCTTATGTTATATTACTGGAAACATTGGCAATTGTCTGATGCTACCGTTTAGTACTAATAACTCTTCGTTAATGTCTTCTAACATATAAGCTTCCTTAATTTGGCTAAAAACTGAAGTAGCTGGAAAGTGCTACATAACTCTGGTTTATCATAAGTATCATGATCAACGGAATTTCGTATATTGAAATTCAAGATCTCATTAGCCTTCGTTAACACCATATACTAATTCTGAGACTATTAGTTTGAATTAGGAGTTGATTGACGACAAAGTTTATAGGAAAATGAAGTTATATTTATTTATGTACAATTATTACTTCGATTTATATGAATAAATACATACCAATTTACAAAGTTTACCAAATCAGACTGTCCTATAGAAGTTATGGAGATAGAGAGAAGCTCCTGTAATTCGGACGTTCAAATCACCATTATATTCTTTATCTAAAAATTAAATGCTCCATAATAAATCTTTCCGTAGACAGTAAAAAACATATTGAAAATTAGTAAACCAAGCGAGTTTAAGATTAGCATTATATTATTCAACAAATTCTCATTGAAAATTTATTCACTAGACATTGGCTACTCATACATTCCTTTTCTCAACTCGTCATTACATAGTGTCTTCACACATACCATGTGGGAAATGTATCAGCTTGGTAAATCTCTTTTTTTTTCCTGTGTTGTCTATTATTTATGGAAATATTAATCAGTAACATTCATTTTTTATTTTCATTTTTAGTACATCAATTTCTCTTTAACCGATATGGGAAATATCCTGGGACTCCCTGGTTTGCAGTGGGTTTACTCTAATGTTATCTCTTCTAGTTTTATTACTTTATATTGTTATTCTATTATGTGACGTTTTCAGAACACTTAATTATACGTCCTTTATTGTACATTTGACTATATATATGAATGAGTTGAAGTAGTCTGAACCTTGACTTACTGACTATCACCATCCTTCTATCGTCAATAAATTTCTTTACACAAGAGCATGTACTAACGTTTCATAATCGTAACTTGGTCAAGGTATCGAATGTTGGATTTGAGAGGACGAACAGTTGATCGGTTACTTCGAGATCTCCAGCGCTGGTAGTCGTCATGAAATTGACGTAAAGGTCTTAATATAAATGAAAATTTATTCTTTAAGAAGATGACCAGTAGTGCAACAGTGAAAACTATAAGCTAGAGATCTCTTTAGGACTAAAAATTATTATTGCTTGGATCAACGTGACTAGATGAACACTTCGTTTAAGTAGAGTTTGGTCAAGTTGGACATCTGTCCGCTTTATCGTCGGACGATTCACTAAACAAAAAACAAATTCCAACCATTTGATCAAGTTGTACACAATTTATTGGTAAGCCTTAAAACTTCCCAAGTGTTCAGAAGCTTTGCAATGTTTTCAATCAGTGTTAAAGATATGTGATAACAATGAGGACTCAATCACTTGGTAATCTATATTTGTCTATGTGTTAGTTTAACTTTACAATAACGAACTTTTATAAAAGCTATAAACTGTTATTCGGCATTCACGTGTACATATGTGATGGCTGGATATGACTAAAAAATGTAATCACAACTGTTATTTAATAGTCCTTCATTCTTTTCATTTATATCCAAAAAATACATTTCATTGACAATAAAATACTTGTGTTCCTTGCACCTTAACTTTTTCCAGATTTCCTGTACTTCTGTTATATTTTCTATGTTATTTTAAAATAGTCTGTGATAGATTTCAAAGTAACTACTCATCTACTACTATCAACTTGATATTCAGATTTAATGTTGTAGACGTGTAGAAAGTCTTTTATTTAACTGATGTGTTATTTTCATAATGGTGTACTATTAAAATTCCTGTCCAAACTAGAGCTTATTTAGTCAATATAGCCTCTGCCAGGGAAGTCCTACACACTGCCTTCTCGTGGCGGAGGTGTTGTTTACGAAAGTGAGAGGACGAAAAGCGAATGTCCGGCGCTTTAACCGGATTCCAAACCAATGGTGCACATGGGCTCCAATATCCTGCGGGAACAAATGGCGTATGAACCAATTGTTGGTCACCGGCTTCCATGGGACTGCATCTCCTTATGATGCTCCACTGCCTTGTGGATCAGACCCTCAGGTCAAAGGCTCGGGATGTGGCCGCCTAAGAAAACCACCTGTTTCGGTTTGGGCACCCGGGCAGTATTACAGCCCTCACACATATCGAATGAGATTTGTGCGGCGCATATGTATTTGGTGCCTCTTTGTACCAATATCCATGTGTTGAAACAAAATAAAAATAAACAATAACTTGGCAATCACAAATAAATGATCTTGTTGCCAGAAACTTGATCTTCACAATTACCGGATATATTATAAGTGAATTAAATATCAAATATTAAGACATACTGAATGTTTAGGGACTGAGAAAGACACGGTAATCAGTTAATTTTTCATGTCACCAAGAGAAGTCGAAAACACAAGTTATGTAATTAGATAAAAAATCACTTTTAAAAGGTATTCAACTTCGGTCTTGTCTATTTTTTACATTGCTTCTACTGTTTAACAACTGTATTTGTTTTAAATCCATTCAGACAAACATTGAATACAGTACTTCGTAATGTTGTCAACCAGTTGGTCGTTCTCCCAAATCGTTTACCGGTTCAACTGGTTCCTGATATTGACATACAGCGTTTGAAATATCCATTACCTCAAGTAAGCGTGTATCTGAAGTCCTAATAGTACAGTATGTCTCGACACTACTTAACCCAAATTCAGAACGTGATTAGTATCATGAAACAATACTGAATTGTATTAATCATTGTTCGTGATATCAGTTGACATTATTGCTTCTTCCACATGGTAGTTTTAAATTTTTGTTGTCAGGTCTAGGAACTTAGGTATTTTAGTTAAAGCAATTGGTGCAACTTTACCTTTTTTAAACAAGCGGATTGATTTATGCGTACTGTCCAAGGGTTCATGAGCTCAAAATAATGGATGATGTACTAAGGAAATCAGATATCATTGTAGCACTAATTCATCATTTATTATAACAGATCTTCAGGTTGGTGTTTGGAAGATAACTGAAAAGTGGCTTGTAGTTTTAAGCAACAATATTATTCTTAATATAGAAAACACCCTTTCATTTTCTTGGTTTTTAGTCTCTTCCGTAGTTCGATTCCATATTGCATCCATCTTTTATAATTTTATAATATATTGAACTGTGTTATCTCAGTAAACAATTAAGTGTATTCTCTTCTGATCATCAAATTGCGTTTTGAATGCCTAAATTAATATTCGAACATTATTATTTCTCATTTTATTCACTATTGCTACTTGAATTATTTTTATACCTTCATTATTGATCAATGTTAAAAGGGCGTTCTTCATATCAATATCATATCTGGTCGAAATCTTAAAGCTGGTGATAAAAATATGATTGGACACCGTACATCTGATCCATATTGTGTTATACGAGGTAAATGTCAATTTTATGGTAGATTTGTATTTAATTTTCAATAATATAAATGTAATTAGAAAGTGGATTCAAAATGTTAGTTGTGCTATCCCTATTGTCTTTCTGGAACTCCGGTTGTCGACAATTCTTTATACATGATTGTTGTAACAGATTAGCCACCACTCTTCCCGACGTCTAAATGATACAGCAGTCACTTATTTTAACCGCCTGTAATCTTATGTAACTTGTTAAGATGAACCAGTTTTCATTATGATGCAACTTTTGATATCCACTAGTTTATTCACAAACTTTATAGTGAGAAAAGATTTCATGGATTAGAATATCAGTGACCTATCATATTAACTTTCTTTATCCAATTATCTATGATATTTCGTCACATTTTAAGAATGAGAAATTATATTGGTATATCTGTTATTCATAGAAGGTTAATGTTTACCAGACCGTAGCTGCTACCCTGACATAGTGGTTGAGCTTGCCCATATTGACTGATATGGGTGTTCTCTTAGGTCCTACCATGCCAGGCAGGCCGGTTAAAGAACGGGTAGACTAAAACCAGCAACTTAAGGCCTAATTGTGAAGTCGTACTGCTGACTGTAGAGGGGTGTGACGGCAGAAAGGTGTTTCCTTTGGACAACCATCATCTGCAGCGATGCTGCCTTTTCACAACGGAAGGAAGGGGTTTTAAAAAGTCGACCCTAGAAATATCACACCTCACCTTACCCCACGGACTTCCGTTTCTGACTATAAGGCATTTTGAAGTACGGAGCTAACACATCAAAAACTTCCCATAAAGATGCCGCGCGTGACTGGCCTCAAGCAGTCGCCCCTTGTGCTTTGCGACCATGTTTTGAAGATTTCTGTAATCTTGGGCATTAATTCAATACTTATCAAAGGTCCGAATCAAAATATGAGTGTTAAGTTGATGAATCGAAAATTGTTATATTTTCACTTTTTCCAATTTATAATCACTTGTGTGTGGTTTGGATATAGTGGCTTTCCGTAGTGCAGTTTAGGAAACATGTCTCTGAGGCCTCTCGTTTAAATTTACGTACATCTTGGAGTGAATATTAATAACTCTAAAAAAACTTACATGTAATAGAATGTAAAATGATCGTCAATGAAAAACATACTCTTTCAACTTCACGAAATCGGTAGCTTAATTTTTTTCATTCACAGTTGGCGCTAGAACGTTCACTACTTCTGTTGTTAAAGAAACACTAGAACCAGTTTGGAACCAACATTTTGAGGTGGGTCATTCAAGTTCTCCTAATTGCTGTCTTTTTTAGTCATTGTCTCGTGATATCTATTGGTTTCCTTTTTTCTAAATATCTCCGAATTCAATCTAATCTAACTCACTATACTCAACATTTAAGCTAAATTTGTTTCGAGCAGTTTTAAATTACCTCTCATTTCAAGCAAATTTCGGAGTATCGCAGTATATTTAAAGAGTTAGTAAAACGTCTATTAATGATTCAAATATATTTCAGAAACATGTAACATATATCGTTAACTAATGAGATTAGTTGCGTTATTTCGAAAATAGTCTAAATGCAAATTATCTCTTCTATGATATGTGTAAGTTACACTTCACATCACAGGTTACACTTCTGTACGACATTATTATGTTTACTAGACGTGAAGGTAACCCCATAGTGTAATTGCTTCACCATTTCTGATATTAACCACTCCTCCCTTCCATGAGACTTGTTTATTATCCTAGAAAGATTCCTATCTGAAAACGACCCAAAACGCCTACATTTCATTATTTGTTGAAAACTGCAAACATGTATTCACATGAAACGGTGTATAATGTTTTACGTACTAATCGACATGTTTTATAAACCTTTAGAATACCATAAAAAACAATATTTTAAATGTATTGTACTATTATAGATTTATGCTTTTCTACCTTCTCCATCATTTGTTTTAAATTTAATTATTTTATTTGTTCAAATAAGTGTTATCAACTCTTGTCATTGTACAAAAATCTGCACATAATAAATATTTCCCAACTTGTATTGATGCGAAGATTGTTTTGTACTTCAAACAGACTAAACTGCATGACCATAGTGGCATTTTACTCATGTTCGTTCAGTGTTATTCTACAAAATTCGTTTATCATATACTTTACTGAAGTATTTTACTGTCAGATATAAAATAAAATTTCCTGAATTTTTTGATTGGTTTGTAAATCAATTATTCATTTCTTTTTTTCCTGTTGTTAAACATTGCTCTTAACACCAACTGTGCTCCACTGATCCTTAATATCTCCTACAAGCAGAAACATATATCCTACAGCTTTTAAATCTCTTGAGCCATTGATCCTAGTAGCGTAAACTAGTGCTTCAATTGTGAGGCTTTAGTACAACAGTGTTAACTGTCCTGCGAATGTTGTAAGTTTATTCTATTTCAATTTTCCACAAACTGTAAATAATGATGGGGGATTGTAAATAGATGTATTGACCTCTGATCTTTCCAGTGTTCCACTATTCTCAGAATTGGTGTGTTATGAATTGTGGCCTCTGACTAATACCACGTAACAAAACCTACAATCAGAATATCGAGTTCTGTAACTTTGACCCTGAGCCAATCAGTGACACCCCAACCAGCACCAGCAGTTTGATTCACTGCTATGGCCTTATTGGTCCTCAACCTGATAGCTTCTCTCCCTTCCCTGCCCGTTGAATCCAGACTAGTTTTGTTTTGAATGACAATCCAAGAAAAAAGTTGAAATATATTCAGTAATTCTTATGAATGTGGATCTGCAGTCTTTAAGCATATCAGTTGGCCAAAAGTAGTTTAAAATCGACCATACATGTGTGTCGGTTCAAGCTGTCACACCACGATAGCACAGCGAGACTAAATTATCTGGAGCAATACCAAAGCAGCAGAAGTAATAGTCATAATATCAGTGGTTATAAAAAAGACCAGGTAACTATGATATGATTTATAAACAAAACGTTAGATCTCGCAATAAAAATTACCAAATAGTTCAGAAACTCAGGATCTGATTGGATACATCTCCATTGAGACCGATTCAAAGTTATGTTACCAATACCTTTAACCATCGATCAAGGCAATCACACAGACGTGAATCAGGTAGTTAACCTCTTCCAACATAGCAAAGCAACAATCAATGAGTTCATATGCTGGTACCAAGTTTTGATCTGGCTGCCCCTACTTTTTTTTTCAATTTACTTCCACGTTAGCCGTTATCTCGCGTCATGACAGGTAGTGGTTTGGCATTCGTAATTCATGTTCCATCCACCTAAATCAATGGTTATTCATAATCTCATCAACCGCCTTACTATATTTATTTATTACCTTGCTTTTAAGGTCAACACTGTTCAATTGGTGATCTCATTATACACGACCTATTTATGATCAAATACAAGCAACCTACAAATCTCCCCTAATCTTATAGGTCACGTCTCATAGTTATATGGTAGGACAGAACGAACCGCGTCTAATTGTATTCGTCTTTACGTCGGCAAACGGACATTTCGTATACACCATGGGTGATGTAAGTGAGCAAAAGCCAAACGAGCTGTTTCAATCGTTGTCGAGATTTCATTAGACACCAACTCACCCGGACTACTGAATATTATAAGATAAGCGGTCTCTAAATAAAACCTAAAATTGCGAGTCGATTTTCTGAATAAAACTTTTGCTAAGTGAACGTATTTTGGTTAAAAGGATCTAATCTTTAGCTGGGATTTTTACTCAGATATATTAATGCTCTGCCAGAGTTTACAATGATATAGTAATCAAAGCAAGTCGAATATAACGGATTGTGATCAAACCCAAGCATAGCATTAGTCGATGAAATCAGAGACTTTTAACTTTATTTGTGTAGGAATCGTTGGTTAATTGTTCAAAAACCTAAAACTGTTACAATTAGGTGATTAAGGGTTTCATTTTCAGATAAACAAAAGTACTGCAAATGCAGTTGTGGCTTATTCATGTCTTCCTGTGGATCATGAGCATTCAACTACTATCCTCTTTGTTTCATATAAACATGTACATCTTAATAATGAGAAATTTGACTTCGATTACTACCAAGAGTATGTAAACCTTGATGGATTATAAGTTTGAATAGACGGTCAAATGACTCCTGGTTAATAGTCGACATATTTCTCTAAGAAATAAATTATCTGGAATTCTTCATTTCTCTCACTTTTATCTTAATCCACAAAAGTTGGATAGTTATGTGTCTTTTTCATAATTGAGTAACAAATGCAACAACCATTTGCTGCATAATCAAGGTGTGCTATATCGTACGTGTGTATAATTTCACACTAGAATTTATTCAGTCCTCGTGACTTATGCTGAAAATGTTTCCTTTCTTTAATCTGCGCTTGTCTGTGCGCATATTTGTATACCACGTTTCAATTAAGTCACTAGTATGTTTCTGTTGCCTGCTTTCTACCACTGGTCATTTTCTAGGTCAGACTAGCTAAATCATTGTACCTTTATCGATTTTACTCGTCAGAACAGACAAAAATAATGTGTCAAAATTTCCGTTCGAGATAAGAAAATAATGTATATTATTGATGTCTTCAGGTCTTTTCCATCAGTCGTGAATAACTTTGAGAGTTCTTTGTACTATTGCAACCAATAAGCAATTAGGTTCATCAAGTTGAAAATATATCACTAGAAGTACTGAAGGTGAAACACTTTTAAAAATGTATGCTTATTTTCTGAATTTATTCAAGAATTATGACATATATATAATCAGAATGGGTTTTGTGGAGAGTTTAAGAAATTTCACAAGTTGAAATCATGAGTCTGTTGAAGCTAGACCACCATTGAAAACCTGGAAGCACTGGACGGCCGTTTCGTCCTGGTATGGGACTCCTCAGCAGTGCGCATCCACCCGCGTGGTGCAGGTGGATGGTTTCAACTTGTGACATATATATAACCTTCAAACTGACAAAAAAGAAATTTATGTTGATTTACACTGCTAATATATAGCGTTCACCAAAATAATTATGCACCTCGCCTGTCTATTCACTCACATAATTTTCATTTCAACTCTATAATGACACAATACACCTGCCCTTAACTTTGTAAGTACTCTGCAATGTACCCTTGCAATTATAGATTAAGCAACTGATTGTTAATGGTCTTCTGAATTCTGAGTCATGATCATATCGCCCATATTGTAAACTTCATTGATTCGATATTATGACCTGGTTTTTTATCTTTATGTATGTTTGCATAATGCCCTAAGATATGTTTCTCTTGCTTTCTTGACTCTGTAAGAAATTATGTTTTACTAGATAGCACTGTGTAGTAAACGAGAATTCAGGTACGGTAAACCATTATGTAGTGATTTATGTAAATTCACTCAGTGGCTTTATAAAGTATGAAAATCACACACTAAATACATCATTTGAATATCTTCCTTAAGTCGTCCTTTACAACTTCATCATTTTTCTGACCCAGTTCTTATTCCGATTGCTTTTCGTTTTTCTCCCTCTTCTCTTTATGTCATAGCTCTGCTGGTAAGCATTCTACTTCCAGTTCCTGCTACATACTGCTTATGTCTGTCCGCATTAGTAGCTCACATCACTAGTTTTTAAGACATCTATATAACACTTTACATGCATCTTTTGTGTGTCAACTAAAGCAGATTTGCATGAATTATTGCAGTTATTCAACATAAGTGAGTGTCCAAAAGAAAGTGACTAATAAGTGGTTCATTAGTAGTGTTAGAAAATGGAGCATACTCAGCGGAACAGCCTTTGCCACTTCATCGAGATATTTATGATTATGTGTAAGAGACATTTTGTCTGGTATTTTCTTAAGGATAGTAAATGATATATATATATATATACGAGCAAATGTAGATAAAGACATCCAGTGTAGCAGCAGCCTATGCACCAGTAGGTTTCAACATAAACAAGAGAAAAGCAAGATCTCAATATTACAACGCAGAGAGTATCACGTAAATCATACTTGATAAAGAAGCTCCGGGAGTGGTGGAAAGTTTAACGTACCTGGTCAGTATCATTGATAAACAATGAGGATATGTGCAGATGTAAAGGCAAGGATTGGTAAAGCAAGTGCAGCATTCCTAAAATTGGGGAACATATGGAACTCAAGATAACTCTTAACCAGTATCAAAATCAGAATCTCCAATAAGAATATCAAGATAACCCTACTGTACAGAGCTGAAACTTGGAGAACTACCACAACCATCAGAAATGTACAAGTATTTTCAAACAGTTATCTACGCAAGATACTCAATGTCCGTTGGCCAGATACCATCAGTAACAACTTACTGTGAGAGAGGAAAAACTATCTTCCATCTGAAGAGGAAATTAGGAAAAGACTCTGGAGATGTGTAGGAAATACATTGAGGAAATCACTTAATTACATCACGAGGCAGGCGCTAACTTGGAATCCTGAAGAACAAAGGGAAAGAGGAAGGCCAAAGAACACACTGCGCCGAGAATCGCCAGAAAAAGTGAAAAAGGATGAATGGCAACTGTAAACAACTGGATAGGATTGCATAGGACAGAGTTAGATGGAGAATGCTATTATGATCTCACGAGTGGTGGGTGTAAATAAGTAATGTGTATTTGACCATACTTAATAGAAAAGTGATAAAAATCATTAAGCGGAAATCCGCCCGTAGTTTTATTATCTATGTCGAATCCTGAGAATGTATTTCAAATCAAATTAACTTTGCTAGATAGAATTCCCAAAATTTTATTCACTAGCCCATTGTTAATAAATTTGTCTTGATATTTGTGTTTACTGTGTTCATTCATGAAAATCACCTGGGCTCACTTTTTTATATAACTTCAAATATACAACTATTCAGTAATCTAGTTTTCCAATTTTCTCCTGGATATCAACAGTTTATTCATATTAATTAAACTTCTTAGAATGTAACATCTCATTAATTTCAATTTTTGATTTATGTTGTGTTCAATTCCATGATTTAAATACTATTTACTTTTCTTTTTAAATACATTTTATTTAGTCTATCGTCGATATTTGTCATGGTCAGTCAGTAACATTTGAAGTATACGATAAAGATCAAGGGAACAAAGATGATTATTTAGGTTGGTAAGTATTTTTTCTTTTGCTTTGGAAAATTAGCTGTCTGGTTTTAGCAGCTGAAAGATGTAAAACAATTTCAATTTTTCCATCTATACCTACTCAGAATGAATATTACTCAATAATTAATATTCCTGAAACAGGTTACCTGAATTCAAAAATACTGGAATGTGACCTATAAGATTGCCATATTACAGGCTAGAGACGATCAATTTTATGTACATCAGTATAGCGTCAAATCTACAGTTTACAACTTGCTAATTTAAATTATGTCGGAGTCTAAGGTTTTCTGAAAATCTATCATCATATAAATACTAAATATTTCTATGGAAACAAAACCATTTTAAAATTCTTATTTGCTTATTGTAAATTTGAGTTAGGACCTAATGTAGAATAAAATACATAACAAAGTATGCAAGTCAACAAATAAATTGATAATAAGCAAATCATCAAGTCACTCTGCCATTGATCGTTTGCATACAAATATTCTACTTAATTTAATCACCTTGACTTCTGTCACTTTATGCACATATATGGATTAAGACAGAAGAATGAAAAAAAAATCTACATTAAACTAATTTTTTTCAAAGCATCAATATGCAACCCTTCTGGTTTGAACTATGATTGATTGGTTTCTTTCGACATATGTTCATCTAAGGATTGCTTCAGTAGCCCTTTTAAGTGATAAGCATTTTAAGCAAAGATGGATAGTAGCTAGTAAATCTAGATGAATCCAGCTAACGAGTTCCAGTTAAGCCGAAACACACATCCTGGATTCCACTGCTGGACACTGTCCAACTTTGCCTAGAGTGATATTAATCTTTGATGTTTTCAACCTTGTGCTTTCCAAATAAACTCCCGATAAATAATTTCTCAATCAATTTTGATTTGCATTTTACGTACTGTATATTAATTTGTTTTTAAAATCAAGCGTACAGTAGGAAGTAAAATATCCTCTTTGTTAGCTACATCGTTGTTAAACTTTTCATTGTTCCTTATCTTTATGTTTTAACTTAAAAACAGCTTCATCTCTTCTAACGGAGCACCAAACCTCGGCATCCAGTTACTAAACTTTCAAATTACTGGTTCTATATTCATGTCCACTTATACAGAGGCGCTGTTAGAGATATGAGAGTATTTATCACTTCCCGGTTGCCTACACCGTGGAAAGGTTCTAATGGAGGTACCTAAAAATGAAATTAGATCAAAGGTGGTCTTAGTGACTTGAGAGTGTGACCGCAGTGCCCAAGGGACAGCTGCTTGAGGTCGGTCACACACGACATTTTTGTGGATAATTTTCATGTTAGCTCCGTGCTTGTTGAGACCTCACCGTCGGAGACGGATATCCATGGGATAAGACGAGGTGTGAATTTCTAGGGTCGACCTTTTCTAACCCTACCCCTCCTTGTGGGCAGGTAGCATCGCTGTCATGCTAGTTGTCTGAAAGAAACACCTTACTGCCGTCACACCTCTGTACGACTTTGCCCTCAGACCTTGGGCGTGCTGCTGATCACTATACCGAACTTGTTCACTGTAGCTGAAAATTTGTATTAGTTTTAATGTAAGAGGTTGGATTAAAGCTATATAATCATCTAAAAGTTTAGTTATATCTGTTTTTAATTGAATGATATTTAGTCATTTCTCAACCACTTACAGGTTTGTGTACTAAGGTGCTGTCACATATATATTATGGAAAAAATGGTTCATATAGCTTGATAGATAAGACGATGCTTCCTCAGGTGATATAGTGTTTGAAAGTTATGTTCCCGAATGACTGGGTTGACAAATCTCTCTCACAATATATATATATATATATATATATATATATATATATATATATATATATATATATATATATATATATATATATATATATATATATAATTTGCAGATTTATTTCAACTTCTTATGCATTTCTTGAGTAGTCATTCTGGGATGTGAGGTCCAAAAACTTCAGATATCGTATCTCGACAGTGTTCAACCATTAAAACAAAATCCAGTACTCCAGTTTTTTATATTTCACCCAAGGTTATGTACGCCTGAGCGGAAACTTCTCAGGCTCTGAATTAGGGGGACGTAGGATCGAATCCTCCAGAGAGCACCAGTCCTCTCAAGAGTTCAGGTACACCTAAGTGACAAGTTCCAAACACCATGAAACTTAGGTCCAAGTTTTCCTATCGACTACACCTAACCACCTATTGGCTTACACTACTCTTTTCTTATCACACCTAACCACATAACATCTCGGTATAGTGCATTCAATGTCGAATCACTTAAACTAGTGGCCACATTGAAAATTGATCTATAGAATTCAGTCATCACTAAAATGACTAGACAAATATGACATTAATCATAACTCATTGACCAGTAGATTGTTATATATGCAGCTCATTCATGGATGTTTTTTCAAACACTTGGTCCGATGAGGGTTATTCAGACTAAGACGAAACTTCCTGATTTTCACAGGAACCACATTTTTACAACCTATTAAGCCTTCAAAGCTACCAGGTTAGTGCATACCTTGAACACTACGAATACAACTTCAAAATAATTGATTGGCTTTAATTATCTGTCAATGTGGTAGTTTTTGCCGCTTATTAAATTAACGAAGCTGTTATTTTCGAGGTTTTTAAGATTTCATTTTTTTAAATGTAAAATTGTATGTTTTAATGCCGCCTTTCTAGGTTATTGTACTTAAGTTATCACCATAGCTACAATCTACGTAAAATTCTTTTCCTCACTTTTTAACAATAGAACTTTAAACAAGTCAAACTATTCATTAATGTAACTTTCACTTATATTTTTCTGATAAACATACACACTTTGTCAAGTACAAAAGAGTGACTGTCTAGTCTCTTTTTCTGCTGCTGTTCACTTAACCAGTACTATATGTAATTAATCAAGCCCATCTTATCGCAGTTTCAAACTTGCTTTCTCGTATACACAGCATTGAGTAAACGAAATATATTTCAATCCAACTTCAGGTATTATTTAAAGTACAACATTTCATGTCATTGTATTAGACACAAAAGCAACTGTCGTTTTCATCTACTTATATTTTATTCTATTCTATTTATATTGCTACATTCTGTCTTTTAAATTTATCATTTCAATGTAGTACTTCGATACCAGTTGAGTCGGTAGTCAGTGAAGGTGAAATAGACACGGTAAGTGTATGAACCGATTAACAAAGTCGGTGTTTGTTATAAATAAAGATTATATCTGTCCAAATGCCTCAAACTAACTGACTGATGATATTTTTGTTAGGATTGAGCTATTATCACAAATTGACTAGCTTTAAAAGGACCTACTATTGAATTCACATTTAATAATAAGAAAATATTGTGTTACTCATCAAACCCGATGTTAATAAGAACAAAATAATTCTTGAAATTCAACGATTTTTCAACTGAAATCATGATGACACTACAAAATCTAGTGTTTTTATCACATACAAAGTCACTAAATGAATTATATCCATTTTTAAATACTAGAAAAATATTGCGAAATTTGATTGAACTATTAATGTAGACAGTTACTTGTACAATACTGAATCATTATTTCCCATCTCCGTACTAGTTTAGATGATCGAATTTGCTCAGACGGTGTCTACAAAGCAACTAGGAACTAGTTACACTATTATAGTTTCCTAAGATTTGTCAAGAAGGATGTACGTATATCTTTCATGTATACTAACTATCTAATTTCATCAAAAATAATAATAAAAGTGCATGTGGAACTTGTTTAATCATGTCCAGTTGTGTAATTCAAAGGTTCACGGCCTCTACATTAAATGTAAACAGTGATATACATTATTTATTTCGTTTATTAACTGTGATGTAAAATTTGTAACAAACGGATTACTTTATTGAATGATTTCTATCATTATGTTTTATATGAATTATTCTCATTTTATTATATTTGCGACTAAAAAACTAATTTAGCACTTTGGATTATTTAAATACTTGAAGGTCAAAAGGCGTTATAGGTTTCACAGTTAAGCCATAATTTCTCAGCTGTCTGTTTTTGCCCTTATGTATATAACACAACATAACCGATCCTCCATTTTGATCCACTTTAAGAATTAACACATAATTCCAAACCAAATCACTCATTCAAAGATTTTAGCTAGCACATTGAATTTTGATGGCTTCACAGTGGTTTTGTATCACAGTATGTCAACAAATACCTAACTCGCCTTCAAGTGCGTACAGTACCAAACTATATATCTCTGTAAATATAACAGTCGATGTAGTTCTTTCATCATCTCGCCTTTCTGTAATACTTTCTGTTTCTCTACTTTGTAGCGCTTCATTTGGTAGTATAACTCATTGCGAACCCTACAATATTACTGAATGTGATTGACATTTGCTAGTTAATGATTGGGTTGATAAACTGTGACTTTCTCCGTCGGTCAGTGTAATTACTGTCACCAAGTACAAAAATATACCATACAGACACATAAATCAGACTCCGTTATTCTGGACTTCTCATCAGTATTTACAGACTTTTCGACTTGTAGCATACGTTTCTTTATATAAGACTCAATAGTGTCCCAATATATAAAGCTATTAATTAAGTGACTTTAACTGATTATTGCTTTAGACTAAGCGTCACAAAAAACACGGCTGCATAATTTCAAACATTAGGTAAAGTAATCGTAATTCGAAACTAACTCGGGTAATATCACCTACCGTCACAATGGTAGTGTAATTCACGAGTCAAGTACACGAATCTGTACTCAGCAAATCAGTAGAAATAAAGTAAAAGATATATTTGACAACATAAATAAATATGTATATGTATATATATATATATATATATATATATATATATATATATATAGATAGATAGATAGATAGATAGATAGATAGATAGATAGATAGATAGATAGATAGATAGATAGATAGATAGATAGATAGATAGATAGATAGATAGATAGATAGATAGATAGATAGATAGATAGATAGATAGATAGATAGATAGATAGATAGATAGATAGATAGATAGATAGATAGATAGATAGATAGATAGATAGATAGATAGATAGATAGATAGATAGATAGATAGATAGATAGATAGATAGATAGATAGATAGATAGATAGATAGATAGATAGATAGATAGATAGATAGATAGATAGATAGATAGATAGATAGATAGATAGATAGATAGATAGATAGATAGATAGATAGATAGATAGATAGATAGATAGATAGATAGATAGATAGATAGATAGATAGATAGATAGATAGATAGATAGATAGATAGATAGATAGATAGATAGATAGATAGATAGATAGATAGATAGATAGATAGATAGATAGATAGATAGATAGATAGATAGATAGATAGATAGATAGATAGATAGATAGATAGATAGATAGATAGATAGATAGATAGATAGATAGATAGATAGATAGATAGATAGATAGATAGATAGATAGATAGATAGATAGATAGATAGATAGATAGATAGATAGATAGATAGATAGATAGATAGATAGATAGATAGATAGATAGATAGATAGATAGATAGGTAGATAGATAGATAGATAGAGAGAGAGTTTTCATTTCGTTTCAGCATTAAACTGTTGTAAAAAATATTTAACTATTTTCGTAGCAAATGTTTTACACTCAGAAAATATTTAAGGTTTTCTTAGTTCTCATCCTTGTATATGTAACATGTTAATGATTTCTCCGTTTATTTAGTGGTCCTCATTAGAAGGGGTAAAAACTGGTTCATTACATATTCAATTAACGTGGTTTCGACTGTCGAATCATGAAGTGGATTTTGTACAGGTTAGAAATATATATTCGTTTTTTACTTCGAACACTTCCATTTCTTGTCTTAAATAACATTTAAGTATTGGATAAAAAGTGGGGTTGTACCATTTAGCAAAGTAATCAAAAATTGTGAAGAGAATACTTCAAGTAATAGTTTATGTAATAGTTATCTTTAGCCTTTATTCTATAGACTATTTCCTCTTATTACTTCCAGAATTGTTACATAACGTAAGCTTTTGATGATTTTTGATTACTTTGCTAAACATTTAAGTCTTAATCAGCTAATGAAAAACAGAAAACTTTTTTTTTCGTTTTCTCGTATTTGAATTTGAATTACTTTGAATACTGTTCATTCAAGTTAAAACTTGTCTAAAGTTTTTCATCGATTTTCTGTGATATTTCATCAGTGTTCTTTGTAGAGTATCTCATAATATTAAATATTCACACACATGACTATAAATTAACATACATTCGAGTGTTTCTCATGATTTCAGTTAGCATTACTATCCCAGATATGTAAAATTGTGGACGTTCATTGTAAGCAATACATTTTCGGTAAACTATTTCAGATTTGTTGGAAAAAAAAGAATTTGTACTTGTTAGTTTAATGTTTCATCATCATGCTTAAAAATTGAGAAACATACTTTATTTTTGTATTGAAAGATGCATATTCCTTTCCTAGAATAAAGTTTATCCAAATTAAAAACTCAAATACCCTAATGTTTTCCTTAATACCAGGCTTAAGTACTTAATCTCGCTATACTGCCAGTATAATTATTTTTTTCGGGAAAAAAATATCTGGTTAAAAATATTACTTAAAATTTATCAGAATTATGACTTGCTAATATGTTATTTCATTCACTATCAATTGCGTAATTGTGTAAACTATGATTTAACAAACAAACTATTCAAGTTCAAACTCTCTTATGAAATCACAAGTTCGTCTGTGTTCTTTACGTTCTTTGTTTTCAGTCGATAGTATGGTTCTATACACTAAGGCTATCATAAAACACTAAGCTATCTAAAACTACATCCTTCATACAATATTGGCCTGAATTTCAACACAAAATATATGTTTATTATATTCAAATGTTATATATAGTTCTGAGCTAACTAAAATAACGAACTTTAAAATTATTCGTTAATTCTTTACTCATATACACTGATTAGAAGTCTGTTCAATATGTTTAACGAGCTTTTCTTGTAGTTATTGTTATTATTATTATTATTACTATAGTTTGTAAATATATCTTTAACTAGTGTTAATCTTTCGGAACTTACTGCTGTTTACCTTACTCTGTATCGTAGACTTTCTTCTGCATTTTCTAGTCAGTTCAATTGATTTCCTCTTATTTATGAAAGTGGTTTACGATTTCAACTAACCTCCTTTTACTAATTCATGTTTGTTACTACCCGGCGATAATCAATAAACTTGCGATTTGGAAACATTACTTCCAGATTACCGGTTCAGTACTAGTACCCGAGTATTTCACTGATAAAATAATTTTAAATTCAGTTTTATCGTATATCATTATTATTACTATTATTATTAGATATTTAGAATCATATAATCTGCCTTGTCTTATTTTCTTGTTTCACCAGTTTATTCTTAAGTTATTTGGCATTTACTGTTTAATATTTTACTGGTAGTTTGGAAAATCCCGTCTCTAATAACTGAATTGCTCTATTCAAGGAAATGTGGACTGTGTTTAGGACCAGTGTTTTAATTTGCCTCATAACTATGTTAAAGAAGTATCTGTAGTAATCGTTGGATATATGTTTGCATATGATATTACTGTTAATACATGCTTGCACTTACTGTTCACAAAGCATCTTTTAGTTAAAACTCCAAGGTTAGCTAGTTTTAGCTTTTATTGCTTCCTGATTACTATGTCAATTTTCAGCCAGTGTTACAACCTGATATTTTTAAGGAAAATGCTCCATTTCCTGTTGTTGAATAGTGAATACAGACAACTTACCATCCACTATCCGAACAGATAAATCAGTTTATATATATATATACAACAAAATTATAATTACAGATTATTCGGAAAACCAGTTCAAATTTTTTTGTAGCATGCGTTTTATTATAATGCTACGTTTTTAAATGCCACTGTAAATTACTCATAATCAGAGTAGTGGTTTTCTCGCCACGTAGCTTCGTTAGTATTGTTCCCACTTTCTAAAAATATCTATTTCCTAAAAATGTCAACACTTGTAATGAATACAGAAGACTTACCTAGTATAGGCTGGACGAATAACTTACTACGGTCGCCGTTGTCCAAGGGATTTCATCTCTTGAACTTACTCCACTGGCTTGTGGACCGAAGACTGGAGAAATGGTCCTCTTAAAAAACTTACCCGCTTGTATTTGAATCCCCGATATCACACCCCTGTCTTACCTAACATTTCTACGTATTATAAAGAAATAAAACATTTTGTAGTACTAGCCACAATTATCATCTTAAAAACAATTTCCTTTGGTGAAACATTAACAAAATGATTTTGCGTGATATTTTTAGTCGAATGTAGTCATTAATCTACCGAGGTTTTTTAAATATTTTATATAACATAATAGGTTAAATGTGTGCTATTTTAGTTTCTCAATAAAAACTCAATGATTAGATGTTGTACGTATTCCATAATTTATCGCAATATAGAAAATTATGAAATGAATATAAAATTTATCGGTAACTTTATCTGAGATTTGAAAATCATGTCTATCTTAAATGCCTTTCAGTCAATCATCCAATTACTCCTCCCTCGAACCTGGATTTCGTTTATGCTAGTGTTTACTTGATTGGGTAAACTTGTGACTTGAAAGTGTTCTATGGTAAAACTAGCGATAACCTAGTTATAACGATATAATTCTCCAATAATATAAACTCTTGTTTGTGATTTGCTTTAATAATAGTACTCTGTAGTTGTGTACACCTAGTTGTTGCTCTTAATTTTGGTTATCAAAGTGCTTCCTTCATATCTCACCTTTTAAATGAACATTTAACAAATGAAGGTACTTGCAATAAATTGAATTATTTATATTTAAATGACAAATAATACTTGATTGTACATTCTTTTGACTAATTTTTGTCAATTATCTCCAAAGTTCGAAACATAGTTTCGTTTCATCACAGTCCACTATTCTTTACGGTCATACAAACTATAAACTTTTCATCATTGCACAAATTTCCACATATTGACCATGCAACATAGAATAAATAAGAAAAATTTTAAAAAGGTAAGTTCTATGATCGTAGATTAAGTGACAAATAACCCATCCAATTCTGTATTTTTATTAATACATACTGATATTGCGAATCAAATACTACTTGGTAGTTGTCTTTTTCCCAATGTGGGGCTCTTCTCCACTTCTGCAGTCGAATTATTGTCGTACTATTTGCCGCGAGTTGGAAAAAGACCAAGGACGTTTGCTTTTTTAGGCTTGAGTAGCCTTGCACTCCATGTAAAATTAAAAGCTTGACTTACCTAATGGAAGGCTTATTTGTTTACACCACTAGAAATTATCACTGCGTGATAACTGGCATGGTTTCTAAAAATTATTTTTCGAAGTATTCAACTAAACAATGTCTAGTAACTAAATCAATTCCCACGCCACTGTTTGGTATACCTGATAAATCTAAGTGCATAATAGCCATTCGCGTAGTTTGGGAATTGCAAAATAAGTCTAAGGAAATATCAGCAGTCTACGGAAATGATTTTTTTAAGGGTACCAGATTTTTTGGTCTTGTTACCCTTTCTACCCTACCAACCAAATATTAGAGCCCGATAATATTTTTAGAAATTAGTATATAATGTGACTAGCAATGGTTTGGAGGACACGCGTTTCGTCCTGTTTGAGACTATTCAAATGGATGTTCCTGCTTTCCACAGTTGATGTTCACTCCAGGACTAGAATTCAAAACTCTTTGCTGCCAGCCCCATTGCATTATCCACTTAGCCACTCAGTTCAGACAGCCGCTCACTTAGATTGGCTTATCTCTTTTAAACAAACGGAACTCGCTACATCCTACTTATTCTATACTAACATGTGTCATAATCTCTATATAGAGGTAATCTGTGCAAGATTCACTTATGCCAACCATGATTGGTCAAATTTTAGTTAAAAATATTAACAGCTGTATAATTCGATCCATGTCGAATTAAACTTTTCAGAAGTCGTTTGTTAGTCTACAATTTCCGAAAGGAACGGTTAAAAACTTATAAGAGCGAAGCTTTTTGACATTTCAATTTTAAGCGAGATCATAATGATTTGTATATAAAATATTTATGCGGAAAAGCGGATCATTCAAAACGACGAGCAACCTTGAAATTGACACAAAGATTGTATAGACAACCTATTCAGAGAAAATAATACAAACCACTCAAATCAATGCTTTCCAAACAAAATAAAAACAAGCCAAAAATCTTCAAATTTAATCCTTCACCACCCTCTCTGTAGAACAAATATCAGACAATATAACAAGTGTTTACACATTAGAAGTATCCCCTAAATATATTCGTTTGCATTTAGCAACATTCTGTTACACAAGAAATATATTATTGTTATTTACTGATTTTCTTCAATTTTCCTATTTCTTAATCATGATTACTTGTCAAATTTTACATACAACTATACTATACATGGTGAGTTCGTGTATATTTCAGTATCACAGTTTTAATGTTAAAGTTGATTACGCATGCACTTTGTAATTTACCACTAATTCAATATGTCTATTGTGTATTTTGTATGATTGATTGATTGATGTTTCTACCGATTAATTTTTATTACATATCCCCATCTACAATCAATACTCTCCCCCCCCAAAAAAACAATACAATAGATTTTTTTAAAGCGTTCATTCCATTTTCAATAGAATAATGTTTAGTCTGTTCAATTCCTACTGGTTATTGTTTTATTTTTCGTTATTGAAAATTTAATTCATTTATTGAGATTCTATGTGATACTTGTGTTATTGTTGTTACTGTTGTTTTCTCTCTAAATAGATAAGATATTGAATATTCTTAGTTTGATAGATTTCCAAATCTCTATTTTCATTGTAGATTGTATTTCTACATATTTTGTTTCCTTTATTTCATTTATCAGTTGATTGAATTATCACTTTTAAATTTAGTCACATATTATATGATTCATATTATTAACATTTGTGGTAGCCTAAACAATGTTGACTTTTGTACTGTTTATAAGATGTACTTGCAAAACTTGATTTAGTCAACACCACAAACTTCGATCTCTCTCTCTCTCTCTCTCTCTCTCTCTCTCTCTCTCTATATATATATATATATATATATATATATATATATATATATATATATATATATATATGACTTATAACTAGATCTTAGCACCCTAACAGAATCACCACCTAATGCCTGATTCATGTTTAGGGTTGCTAAAGCTAATGCTTAAAAGTTTATCTAATCGATGTTAGATTATCGTGAGCTTCACATAAAAATGAGGTAAATATCTGATTACACTGTTTATATGAGGGAATCGTGGAGATTATGGTATTTTCACAATTGAAATCACGAGTCAATCTATTCACCTGAATCTAGGTGATTATTATGTTTCTATACCAGTTATTGGTTTACTCATATTGAATGTGAATACCGTACGAGAAATAACTAAATGATTAAAGCATTTAAATTTCGGTTGTTAAATCAGTATTTCCAATCTTCCTCACCTATGTTGTTTTATGGATCGAGTAATTTCGCTAGACCTCACATAAAACTCCAGTCTTCAATTTGAGTACACGATATTGTACCTGGTTACGGAATTGTATTAAAAGTCATGAAAATATTAAAATCTTTCTTAGTCGTTAAATCAATATGATTTCCTTGTAATAATGGTTAGTTTTGATTACTATTTGTTTATTTCAGTCTTCAGATTTCTAATTTGTGAACTGATTTATATGAAATTTGTTGTTGAAATAATTATAAATCCACTGTAAATGTATATCATCTTCATTCGTTTTCATGTTTGAATGTTTACTCTATGATTGTGCTGCAATTCATCATTCTATACAGCTGTTCATGTTTTGTGTACAAAAATGCATTACAAACTAAACGTTCTCAAGCTAGTTGGATATTTTCTTCATGATATTGCGAATTCATTAACCTTGGGTTTTTTTAATCTCAAATCTCATCATAAGAAATTTGTTATGTTTACTTGTTATTCCTTCTGTCTGTTTTATTTCTTAGTCACTTTATTCGCATAATCGAATCGTTTGTCAGTCATTTACTATTCAGTTCATCTTGTTAATTGTGATTTGACATAATTTCATTGCTGATACTCCCTCTCTATTTATTATTCTTAATTTATTTGTGATAATATTCGCTTTTTATTCATCTTCTGTTTCCCTTCTTTTCTCTTTATATTAAACCATGCCGTTCCAAACTACATGATGATTACTAGTCAATGGAACAGGCCTTACAGTATCGTAAAGCATCCGGACGAAGTATGAGTTCGGGATTCTTATACGTTGTTATTGAACAAGCGAATAATTTGCCAGTAAGTTATTTTGTAAACTGTGTCATATGTGTGCAGTATTTTTTTATATATTGAATGGAAATAATAATATATAAATTTGAAGGAAACTTTGAATTGTTAAATCTTGTTCCTAGATGATTATGCCTGAAACTGAAGCTAGTCTCTGTATTCTCACCTAGTAATTAATTTCTCCTCTGCAATAAGAATACTTTCGTTGTAATCTCCTCCAGACGTATCAGTAAGAGAAAAGTTAAAAACGCTCTTTCTATTTTCACAAGTCGAATTTGTTACAGCAACTATTTGTATAGTCGCAGCGATGACCTTTTTGAATAGCAAACTAAGAGAGAAATTAGCTTATCAGAGAACAACACACTTCAATGTGGTATTCTGCGTTGAAAGTTATCAAGGACTTACTCTTCACAACTATAATTTTTTAGCAACAGGAAAAAGATTAAATTATTTGGGGCCCTCCTAGCAGAAGTCACGAGATAAGTGGCATAATATATGATAGGAAATAGTCACACCTGACAGCTCACTTTCACAATATTCATCCATTTATCCATAATTCATACATCAAAAAGGAATACTATCGCCTCTTCAAAGTTAAATTTAAATACGGTTATTAGATAGATTGCCTGTACCCTCTTTCAATGTCTTTATTGACTAGGTTTTGCGTGTTCTAAGATATCATGTTTATGATTATATAAATTTTACACTATTATTGAGTTCCCGGTCTCCCTAATTAAACATTTTCATCAATATTCTTCCCAGAAGATTCAGTTTTCAACATTTAAAAGTTTGAAGATAACATTTCATTTATCATAGCTCTGTTATTGTTAAAGGTTAGGTATGTACACTTTTGTAGTTGATGTTTTCATGTTAAAGTGATAGGATGAAATATATACTGATGCCTTCGCTATTACTTATCATAACGTTCAAGCATGAATGATTTTCTTTGTCTAAAACATTGTCCTAATAGATATCATCAGAAAGGGTTTGTGGAGATTTTAGAAATTTTCACAGATTTAAATCATGAGTCAGTTGAAGCTAGACCACCATTGAAAACCTGGAAGTACTGGACGGCCGTTTCGTCCTAGTATGGGACTCCTCAGCAATGCGCATCCACGATCCCGTTGGATGCCAGCTCAGTGGTCTGATGGTTAAGTGCTCGCGCGCGAAGCCAGTAGGTTCTGGGTTCGAGACCCGCGTGGTGCGGGATCGTGGATGCGCACTGCTGAGGAGTCCCATACTAGGACGAAACGGCCGTCCAGTGATTCCAGGCTTTCAATAGTGGTCTAGCTTCAACTGACTCATGATTTAAATCTAATAGATATCAGTTTGGATTTTTGCGTGTAACGCCTAATGGTTGAGTCCTTATAAAAAGTATAATCAATACTCTAATCGCACTTTCGAAAATCGATACTAAAGTGTAAACTTCACTTGATGCTAGATTTTATGACGAATATAACTACAAGATTATAAATGTTAACTTCATGGATTTTAACAGGTCGTATTTATCAAAGAAAGGTGTATTTGGTACTGTTTTTTTATCTTACTTTCCTCTAAAGTTAATCTAGACTACTTACGTATATCTGAACATGCTAATCGTAAAAGTGGTAAGAATAGTCTGTCAGTCTATGTATCATCAATGTGATTTTTAAAGTCAAACTGGCCTCCTTTACTCGGGTTTGGAACTGGGAGCAACTCTAGGAGGGCTCCAGGCAGAGTTAACACTTTAACGTAGACACAGTAAATATCACTTGGATTTCACGCAACTTCAGCTAATTGACGATATCGTTATGCAACTAATGTATAGACATATCAGATATATTCGCAGTAACTTCCAATCACCTTTTTTGTTTAACAAGTTACTGAAATCCAATGCTTTTGTACATCATCTTGAACATTTTTTCTTTTGTATCTAAAAACATTACCTTGTAATGATTTACGTATGGTTTTAGACAGTCGTCCTTTATTCAACTTTCTTGCTCTTCTGTTTCTTCCATTGTCAGGCCGTAAAACAACTACAAGAACCTTCACCATTTTGTAATATCCATCTAGGACGTGATTATCAAACAAACGAAGTTAAAGAAAAAACACAAAATCCTGTTTGGAATTCTGTACATCATTTTCTTGTCAGTGATCCAAACGTTGATATACTTCAGCTTATTGTAAGTTTAACTCTTGTTTTTCTTTTTCTTTGGGAGGGTGTTTTTAGTAATCATAATTACTGAAGCAGAGATGTGGATCAAGTTGACTTACTTAAAACTAAGTTTATTAGAATGCTGACCCATATTTTCTGTATTTGTAGAGGTAGGTGTTTATTTTTAGTTACCTAGAATATTTTATCATTTGGTATACCTCTCGTCTAAAGTAATTAGATTTTGTAATAATGTGTCGCACATATGAACATGAGTATAATACTATTGCAGGCTGCTGTTAGGTTGATTTTAAAAGTTTTTACAGTAGTATAGATAATTCTTTACCATGAGGTGCAACAATAATTTCTGTAATGCTCTATAACCTATCAATTAAAGTTTTTATGTACAATTTAATCTATTTGATGTCTGAAAATACAAATCGACCGCCGACCTTCAGTTCGCCTCTAGCTCCTTAATGACAAATAGAGAATTCCCTGATAAGTAAATCCAGTGATTACGTAAGAGGGGTGACCTGCATTGATTGAAATAACTTGGGAAACAGTACAAAATGTTAACAATAATGGATTACCGTTGTTAATGAAACCACTGACTTTCAGTTAATAACTTATAGTCATCTTCATACAGATTCACTCGTACTTTTTGCTTCAAATATTGGACATCCACTATACTAGTCTGATTTTTCTCAGTTACTGTCTCGAGTTTTTCCAGATTTTAGTATATTTCTCTATGCATGACAGCTTACTAAAATGGTAATTCGGCGACTGAATTGATCCACTGTTATGTCAGGTTGTGCAGTAGAACAGTTATAAGTCTGTTCGTATGTTCACTGTGTGTATTTGTACAAATTGATAATCGAGACACCATTGCGTAATACTGATTTCTTATTCACATCATTTTTACATGTTTCATGAAAATGTTAAATTGTACTCCATGCGACATGATTTAGATACGTGACAGTCGAACGGAGACAAAACTAGGATCTTGTAACATCTCACTACAAACCTTATTAACACAGAAGAATATGTCTGTCACACAACCATTCACCTTACAAGATACAGGTCGAGAAACATCAACCATTTACATGCATTTACAACTGTTGGTGAGTTTTATAAATATTTTACGTAAAATTTTAGAATAAATAGTTGAAATTTTTTATTATTATTGATTTGATACACTATACTTTCAACGTGAGTATCTTTGACATGAGAAAATAATCCCATATTGACTTAATCATCAGGGTTTACTGAGACATAAATTATTGACTTTCTGAAATTCTGTTGTGATGAATGAGAGGTCAGGTGGGGACTAACAGTTTATTGTATAACGCAAAGTTACAGTGTCTTCGTAAAATATGAAAAACAGTACATTAAATACTTCATTTTCAAATCTTCCATCAATTTTCTCGAACTTCTGTTTACATTTCCGTTCTCTTCAATTCTATCTTCTCAACCTTCTACTGTCAGCCATTCCGCCTCTGATTGGTGTTACATACTACTTATAACGACAGACATAATTAGCATACACCACACTGCTACATTTGGTTGTTAACAGTATTTCAAATTCTCTTTTTATCACATTACATGAGTAACACTATTTAAATAACGTTCATGTCTAATTACTCTATTAAAATTAATAAATTCAGGATTTATGAGGCCGATATTTTGGTTTTATTATAAATCTACTCGTCATCTACATGCACCATCAAAATCTGTTATCTGAGACAGTTGTCTAAATACTACGCTATTTCTAAGGTTCTTTCTCAAATATCTTCACTTGAATTATATAAAATCCTTTTACACCGAATTCTATTAAATTCAAACCAATAGAAGACAGAAAAAATACAACTAACATACTATGTACTGGAATATAGTATGTAATCAATAAAAAGTCAAACCATTCATGATAGTAATTATCTAATTCAAGTACAGAACATTAGCGAAAATGAAATAACAACATTAAATAACAAAATGTACATGATTTAGATTTTTTTAAATAAAGATCATTTGTTCATAGACCCCTTTTACTGTTTTTAAAACATTATTATAGTTCCTGATAATTATTTACAATTGTTTCATGGACCCTAACTATAAGATCTATATCTTCTCATACAAATCAATAACTTCACAGATTGACTTCATGTGTCGGCCTAGAATTTAAACATGGGCTTCTTATTCCACTTTAGTATGGTTTGTTGTCTTAGATAATTCAGTCAGTTATAACATAGAACCTGGTACTCATATACATCAGTTCAAGTTTCTATACCCCATAAGAATAGAGAAATGAAATTGTAGACGTAGTAATAGCACGAGTGGTGATTGTAAAGATTAGTCATCGAAGGTACGATTCAAGAAAATATTAATTACTGGACCTATATATAAATATATTAGTTATTCTTGACTGAATAAGAATGAGTTTATACTTATTCAGTTTGAAAACACAATATCCAAAATTTCTAAATAGAAATTGATTTAACTTACAAGTCTGTTTTTTCCTTTGACTGTCAAAATTTAATCATAGATCGTTGTCCTACTGTCATTTCTGTATCACGACCCGCTCATTGACCGTGACCAGTGGTTGGAGACTTTGGATGACTCAGAGTCAGTCAAAGTGATGCAGGCATATTTCATTTTAACATTTCTCTAGATCTTCCATCCCCATATCCCTTCATACATAGCTATTCTTTCTGCCTTTTCAAATAAGATTCCCAGTGTTTAGTCTTTTCATTACCATTACTACTGCATTATTTCGACTTCTTTATTATTCATCTTGTTAATTTGATTTCATCATGTTAATGTAGTATCCCAACTTTTGTCAACCCGTATTTGTACCAGGCTCTTCGCCATATATGACTAACTCCTTTGTTCAATAGATAACTCTCAACTATTTGGTAATTGTTTTTAGCTTCTTTGCACTAACCAATCCATCGCGTTATGGGCGTTTACACAAAGTTGTGATTTAACTCCTAGCACACATTTTGATAGTTTAGCTGATAGTTTTCAACTTTGTGAATAATCTCTATAGAACAATTAAATGTGCATTAAATGATTGATTACCGAAGGAGAAATAAATCTCTATTATTATAACAGGCTTTACTTCCTGGACAACGCCAAAATCCAAGCGGGCATGATAATACCAATATAAAACGCAGTTTATCCCTGAATACGAATTCTACTGATAATACTATCCCAACTGAAAAACCTGCTGAATCCCCCACAGGAAATCCAGAAATGGTTGTGAGAAATCGTTTTCCTGATGATAATGTAAGTACTATGGTACTTATGACTTATGTTATTTCTTAACAGTAATAAATTTCTTTATCTTTTGATTCAGTTGGTTGTATTTTAACTTCAGTAATGTGATTATAATTTTTGTTTGGTTTTGATCTTCTTATGGTCGGTTCCAAAAGAAATTGAGTTGACACGTCTAGACTTATGGTGCAACGGTTTTTCACTAATATTTGATTTACTACATTCATGTGATTTTAGCCTCCAATGAAAACTTTCTTAATATGGTTTTTTGTTGTAACCGAAGAATATTACTTAATTCATGTTAACATAGTTAAGTTACAATCGAACAACAGTTAACATTTGGTTTCGGCTGGAATAATTTTGACAGCTGTCAAATGAACATCATTATCGGTTCACTAAAACAGTATCTTCTTCAAAGCTGCAAGATACTATTTTGTCTGACTTAACCTCCTTCCATATTTAGTTCGCTAGCTGTTATAAATTTATTTATTCCCCTTCTTGAAAAGAATTTACTAGCTGTCAGTAAAAGGAATAGTTCTTCACACTATGAAATAATTTCGTTATTTATGTAGACGTTGACTGTCAGAAGACTTAGAGATTTTCACCACTACAGTCATTCGATGATGGATTTAGCCTAAGCACTCTCCAAATTACTTTCGTAAGATACTACTGCCTGAAAGTACAAGCACTCCTTGTATCATAGCACCATTTGATCAGTATTATAAGGGACCCTGATCACAATAAATTGAATTTGTTCTAAATGAACACTTCAATAAGGACTGTATGCACATTTCAAGTATCTTACATATAAATTAGATAAAACTGGGATTAATTTTGTTTCAGTATACTGAGTTCATTGACTATAATTGAAGTAATATTTGTCATTTTATGGACCATCAGTACTTGTTAAGCTTAATCCACTATTTACTAACAACCTATACTTCTATAGAGCTCTCCAAATTTTGCAGTCATAATTTTCTTAGTTATGGAACGTTAAACACACTAGAAATCAATATGTTGAAGGTATTTTTAGAGAACGTGTTCACGATATACCTTTGCGTAACAACATTGACGATTTCATCCCTTTATTCTTTGCTATAATCTCTGAACAAAACTATACTGCCGAGAACTGACTATATATTAATATGAATATGCGTTATGCTGTCATAAAACTTCAAACTAACCACCTCTAGAAGTAAAACTACTGTCAACTGATAATTGGTTACCTTTTCTTTGAAATTATTTTTTGTTCTAGGATATTATTTCTTCTACAGAATCTTTATCAACAACAAACTTCGATAATCAGTCTGTTCAGCCAATTAGACAAGTGATGACTAGCAATAGTATACAACAAATAAGCAATTCGTCACTGGGTCGTATTCGCTTAACTATCCAGTTTCATTCTCTATCGAACTATTTAGAAGTAACAGTACATGAATGTCAGTAAGTAGTTCACTCTTATTTATGCCACTCTTATTATGATACTTTAATTTTTATGCAGACATAAAACTACATACAAATATGTATGCTTAAATGAAGATTTATACTGACACTTATATTGACATCTCGTTATTTTATTAATTAAAGCGCGATTTACATCATTTTCACTTTGGTAACTATAGTAAAATGGTAGGAAAATTAGTCATCTCCGGCGGGAACATAGGTACACGTTACTAAGGGTTAAGGGTCCCATATTGGGACGAAACAGCCGTCCAGTGCCTCTTGATTTCCGATATTTGTCTAGGATATAAGATTTAGCACTATATTTCAGTTGGTGGCAAGCTTCAGAGAATGTTGCGTGTAAAAAATATTCACTTGGGGCGAAAAATGAAATCAGTAGGGGTTTTGTGGAGATTTTTTTAGAAATTTCAATAGTTGAAATCATGAGTCAATTGAAGCTAGATTACCATGGAAAACCTGGAAACACTGGACGGTCGTTTCGTCCTAGTATGGAACTCCTCAGCAGTGCACATCCGCGGTCCCACGCCCCTCGAGATTCGAACTCAGAACATATCAGTATCGCGCGCGAGAGCTTAACCATTAGACCACTGAGCTGGCCGGCATCCAACAGCGTTACTAGGACGAAACGGCCATCCAGTGCTTCCAGGTTTTTCATGCTGGTATAGCTTCAATTGACTCATGAGTTCAACTATAGAAAAATTAAATACCAGGACAGTTAGGAGAGTAAATCAACACTTCTGTTTGAGAACATTTTTCAACCATACACATCACAACCCGAGGAAATGAATAATTCTAACTTGAACTACTGAATTTCACTAAGTAGTGTATTATATTACGTTGAAAATAAACGAGATCGGAAGCGATACATATGTAATAACCCAGTGTCCAACTTCATTCATTTATCACATGATGTAAAATAATTACATCTGACTTAGTATAGCTCATTTGTCTTAGATTTTTAGGTCATCCATCCTCGATTTGAGTTTATTAATGATATTTTTATTTCATATCTCATCCCTATGTATGTAGACATTTAAGCGGTGTTGATAAAGACGGTCTATCTGATCCATATGTAAAACTTTATCTTACGGATTTACACGAAAATGTGGTCAGTGATTCAAAAAAGACTAGAACTGTTAAAGATAATTTGGATCCAAAGTACGAAGAAAAGTGAGTTCGTACATGTGTATGTATATATTATATAAGATATTTGTTATTAATTCTTAGTTTGTCATCCGGTATTATAAGTGAACATTCAGATTAAAGTAAATTAAACAGTTGATAATGACTTTGTATTATTGGATTACTACTTAATATTACACGTTTTCACAATGTTACTGTGTTAGTCTTAAAATATTACCAATAAAAATGTATTCATTTTACCTCAAGTAAGTGCTACACGTTTTAGGAATCGATTCAATGTACTCATCAATTCGCGTTCTGAGTCTTCGGAATGCTCTGCACTGTCTCAATTTCCAGACATTTTCTCATATGATACCACTTTTACTTTCTATTGTCGCGTTACCTTGGCCTTAAAAATAAGCATATCATTTTTTAAGTATCTTGCTTCAAATCCTGAGAATATATATAGTTTCTCTTTTAGGATGAATTTTTGTCTGTTCCTGTAACACGCATAAATTTCCTAAGTTTATAATCGTTACTGAATACATGTATTTCTATGTCACTAATATTTTTACACCCCAAGTCCTTCTATCACTTTCATTTGCTACCTACCTATGATCGGTGATGTAATGAAAACCCCACATATGATTAATTTTATTAATTTCTCATGCAACCAAAGAACTCCATGGATTGGGAATCAATGGTGAGAATTGTTTGTAGATTGAACTATTTGAGCAAATACAAAAGTGATACATATTTTTCATAACTGTTGAACATATACTTTCTAAATTATAGGTAAAAATGTTTCAGTTTTAATTAACGGTTTTTCTCCTCATCTGTTACTTAATACATGAAAAAGATAGGTTACATCTCACATTTTATAGTTTCCATCTGTATGTATGGAATATATACGTGCGTTTAAATATTTACGAAAGTGACTTTACTCGCCAAGTTAATATGCTGTGTTCAGGTACTATACCGTTCGAAGTTTTTATCTGTTCATTCTAAAAAACGTTTTGTTGGGAAAGTTCCTTTGATGGATGTTGTCAGATCATAAACGTATACTTTAAAAATCTGTGTTATTTAAACTATAGTATTATCTAAAAACGTGGCTGTCTCAGATCAGTACCACTATTACTCCATTTATTAACTTTGGTTTCAGAAAACATATAGTAATGATCTCACAGTGTATTACCTTAAATTATTCTTTATATACAATTGTTTACTAATTACGTCTATTTGATATTATTTTTCTCTCTTTTATGCTTCAGTTTTCAGTTTCCAATTGAAGCTGACCACCTTCCATTGACCATTCTAAGGCTGGATATCAAAAATCATGTTGGGCGTTTTACACGTAGTGGAAAAACGCATTTCATCGGAACTTTGTCGATAAATCTTATTGATTCAGTAGACGGGAAAGCTGAAACTAAGTGGTAAGGTTAATGCTCTATTTTCTTATTATTTCTTTTTAAATAAATATGCTTATGTAGACGTTTGTATTGCTTTTTAGAACTAAGGCAATAATTATAAATATCGAAGTATTTCACTCCACTTTTGAAATATTTAGCATTCATATAAACACTAAATGTGTTTTTTATCCTCATCAAATCCAATCTTATTGGTAAAATATATTCATACATGTATCCAGAGATTGCTTTGAATCCGGATAGTTGAATTCCAACTAAACACATAGTGAATATCATGTTTAGTTATGGAAAAATAGTATTAGTGTAATTAGTTATTTCGTCCCTCAATATATGGAAGATGGAGTCGGATAAGCTCATTGTTTAGATTATTTTTAGTCACTTCAACCTGATGGTTTCTGGCTATGTGAAGGTACATCTATTCAACTAATTATATCTGTTATGATGAGATTATGCATGATGTTTTATGGATCTGGTTCATTGATTAATGTCTATCTTTAAATTTTTTTTCACCAATTGGCTTCTCAAATGAAGCACTATCTGCTATTGGAGACTTTGCGACTAAATGAAGCTAGATTTTTCTTGGGAACTAATATAAATCAAGCTATTTACTCAGGTTAATAACATAAGAGTTAACAATAAATTTATCAACTTCCAAGTGAGAAAGGTTTTGGTTATAACCAACTAGACTTGTATACCTCAAAATATTGTCTCCATGTTTCGAGACAAATTATTTTTTGTTCATGATATATTTTAGGATTGTTCTTCTAAAACTCTATTTCTTTTCGTATCTGAGAAACCATTATGACGTTCATGTAGGTGCTTAATTTTTGTTTGTCAGTATTTGTTTTGACCTTCGGTGCTTAACAAATATGGATGTTTCTCTACAGTTCAAATCAAATAACGGGTAAAACTAAATTATACTGACGATCTTAAATGGACCAATTAAATTCATAGTAACATCTCAGGCTTTGTGCAAAATTCAGATCACAGTGAAAGACGGCATGCGTCTTATTAAGAATAAGCGAAATCGTCAACATTTCGTTATAAAAATACTGGGAATCGATGTAAAAATATCTTTTACGCAACCACATAGTGAATATGAGATTGTGCGTAAACCAGATTAAATGAAATCTCTGCTCACTAATGCAGCTCATAAAATAGAATACTTGAAATGACTCAATCCATAGTCAAAGACGTTCGTATGGCGTATTTTCCTCCTTTAAAACTTCCAACCACAACCATTCTTACCCTAACTCACAAATTTAGCTAAGCTCCCATTATTTAATTTTAAATATTTTCCTTTTACTATAATGAACAACTCAACTTGTAAGTGTCGTTATATCATATCGAAACTACTTTTTTTCACTGTGATTGTATTGCTTCTTATCACTAATCTTTTCTATAAATAAACATCTTTCTGATTGACTGGTGAATCACCAAGGTTGATTTTACTAAATAACATCCAATATAAATTTCCTATTCCTACTGATTAGTTAATGTAGCGTCAGTTTTTAGCTTCTTTATGCCTAAAGTAAAATGGAATGTTGAGCTTTTGTTTCTTTCTATTTAAGGTACGACTTGGGGTCACCCATTTTTCGACCATAACTTCGTGTTTTCTTGTTCAATATACATGCAGCTATTGTCTCTATGTTATTTGGTCTTTATTCATCTTGCACACTCAATGTCTGCAGTATTCTTTAATAATAATTAGTTACTTCCATAAACTTTTGTCTCTATTTCCATCCAATGAGTGTGATTTTTTTTAATTTTGGCTTTTCTGTGTATTTACCTTCACTAAGAAGCATGCATATTTATATTTGCCATAATATCATATTTTTATAAAGAATAATTGTTAATGGATTTTATTTACATCTCTGAAAGTGTATGAAATTTTATTCTATGACCTCCTACTGAACGTTCACTTATGCTTATTTATTTCATGTTGCCATTTGTGTCATACTGTAATCTTCCTTTAGATTCTTTGCTTTTTGAGTTGCATTATTTTTTTCACATCCATAGTGATATAACCGCCATTACTGCTACATCGAAAATTTACTTATCTAGAAAGTTGTGGCCTATTTATCTAATATATTCCTTGTGTTGAATAGTCTTTCATGCTTAGATTTACTCGTACTTTGAAAACAGAATTTCTTGTTCATAGAGTTCATTGGAGCTTGTAGGTTGAACGTTCATTTTTCTGTATTTCTCGGAGTTGACAAAGCTTGTTCTCCATCATGTATTGGTGACTGTTACGATTGTGATGAGTTGGTGTAGACTACGATGTAACTTACACGTAAGATCTTATAGATTAGGTAGTTATATCATGACAAATCTACAATTGAAAGGTTAGGTTTATTATCAGAGTAGTACTAATATCGTAGTAGACCATAATTCTACAGGTCTATGCCAACTGAGATAACAGCAGCATGTAACACGTATGTCTGTTCACTGTTTTCTTTGATGCACGATGATAAACGGTGTAGGAGTAAATCATAAGAAGGATTTGGAAGACTGTCAAATCGTGGCATCAGTCCATAAATAAGCTAACTGCTGAACTGAGCCGTGCACTCAGATACAGATTACTTCGTCAGTGTGTTTCTTACATTTTGTATTTAGATTTTAGTTTCAAATTTTTGTGTTTGATAATCTTCGAACTCAGAACTAGTACACGATAAACACCTGTGCATAATGGTCCTGCGTGAGGCTTGTCTTATTACAACTGTCAGTGACAATATCCACATGTTTCAAATGACCGACTCGATACGGACATTATTGACACATCAACGCACGCAAAATCTTTAGTGGAGGCCCGTAGTTTTGTCGTCTCTTAGATCGAACGATGTTGTCGAATAGGGCTCACTAATTTAGTGGCCCGTGATCTGACTCCATGTAGATCGTACGAATGTTTGTTATCACCTATCCTCGTATATAATTATCGACTTAAATCACGTTAATCAATAACGGAATTTAGATAAGTCAACGAAAATGGACTTTGAATACATATACTTTGTATGTAATAGAACAAAGCAAAATGACGCGCAGGGGAGATGGCTGGTAAACCAACTCATTTTTAGCCAGGCGTTACGCAATATTTATAGGCAGACAAAATAAACTACAGACATGGGATATTAAGTGTGCACACATAGACGCTCATATAAAAACAGTCAAGACTGATAAGCGAATAATTGACAAGGTCAAAATATAATTCAAGTAGAATGAATAGATTGGGTTGTCCAAAAACTAGAATAACATATATTATGGACTTAAAATAATGACTGACACTACAAATCTACATTACCAGCATCAGTAACATATGGTGTAATGTAAAGCAGTGTGAAGTTTGATCTTGGATTCTGACCATCATGTGTATATTCGAGATCACCCGAAGCTCCTTCTTCCCTGGGGTGAGTCAAACGCTTCTAAGTTCTTATATCTACCAATTTCGTACTTGATATTAGAAACTAGATAACAGGAGTAAGCTTATTTGAACTGCATCTCAGCTTACCTGCTTCAGACTAGATGAACAATGCTATAGGCTGGACTGGACGGATTACGGGAAGTTAACGATGTATTAGTCTTATATCTTTTGGGACTAAGCAACCTTGCCATTGAGTACTTTCTTTATCTCCATGACTGATTTACCAGTTATATGTACACTATATAGTAATTTATGACTACGTCATTTGTAAGCAAAGCTGAGGTTTTGTTAATATTTCATACAAGAAAACTTCTAAGCTATTGACCTAGCTGAAATCTAGTCCCCACATATGTATCAGCAGTAGGCACTTCGCTGGGGTGAATGACACCACCACAAAGTTGTATGTAGCTGGTCGAACTATAAATCAATACATAATAGGCATACTCATAAGACAGAATGACCTGTCAATTTCGTCCGGTAAAGCATGATATATATAATTTTTTGAAGAGCCAGGTTCATACCACATTACTTATTATGGACCGGGATAGTACACAATCCAAATATTGCCACCCTTAAGCTAAGGTTCAAGGAACTCCTCACTAGGTTCTCCCATCCCAACACATTGCTATCCATAAACTATCTATCCATCCATCACCACGGCAAAATAAAAACTTTGGACTGTCAGTCTCTAAAATCAAGTCACTTTTGAGGCGTCCAAACTCATATAATCTCCCGGTTTTTATGTACTTAGACTGAGAGTTCTAATAGAATATGCTGATTGATATTGTCCCCTCTACCCCTCACTCAGTGCAAGAATAGATTATTTTCGTTGAAAAGAGTTCGTTTCTACATTCACACAAAGAAGATGACAAGGTGAAAGCCTACAACTACCAACCGATTTCGCTGCTATATGAAGTCGTGAAGGTTATGGAAAGAGCAAATGATAAGTCTCCTTAACTATCTCATAACTACTCTGTACTTTTTACATCGCAACATGGTTTTTTACTCGATAAATCCTGTATTATAATACATTTGGGTAAATGAAATAGCTTGGTGATCTCGCTGAACAATAACCATCATGTTCGTATTAGATCCATAGATTTCTCTAGGGACACTTGTCCAAGTCGACTATTTTATTCCCTAACCTTACGAAAAATATCATTTCCTTGAAACATGTTCAAACAAGTGTGACCAAGAAGACACTGAAGCTAAGATATAGACCACATACATGATGTCGAAAATCTCTGAACTACGAACCAGTGCCGTGTGGACATATTAATTGTCGTGTAATCTTGATATATCATATTGGTCATCATACCTTTCACTCCACCAGATCAAAGATATCCTTTATTAATAAACTAAATTCAAGAAGAAAGTTGATTGGGATACAATGAACAAGAGAGGCCACATAAATTCAGGCAATATGTCACACTGTTTGAATCGGTAAGTTGTTGGGTTTTTTTACCGAGTCCAGTGATAACATCACATTCTGAGGAGTCTTTCACGGGAAGAACTAATGTTTACCCAATCGATGTGGCGAATGAGGTGTAGTTGCTATTATATTATTCATCTTCAACTAAACGATTGAGAATGAATAACCTAGTCAAGAACCCCGATTCAAAAAGTCTTGAATGCATATTTCAGTATTTGAATAAACTCAAATTTACGGTGGTATTAACGGTAAACAAAGGACGATAGAACTGAACAGATACTAGTTGAAAAATGTTATACCACTATTGGAATTATACTAGAACCAGACATCCCCATAACTGAATTCTATCTATATCGACATTGACATCAGTTTTACTAGTAATTGCTTTGGGATAGAATACACCAAGTATTACGTTAAACCAGCATCATATGCATTGAAGTAAATCCAAAACATCCAATTTGTCAGTCAGTCAACATGTCTCAAATTTTTATAGACCGATATAATGATGAAAACTGATCAAATGATAGAAATCTTGACAACATGCAACCTCACATGTGCCACTGATATGGACCTCCGATATGGTTGATCGTATACGAAAGTGATCCCTAACGTATAATATTATACCTCCTCCCTTGCGACTTGAAACTCTATCTGTATTAGAAGTGATAGAGTTTCAAGTCGCAAGGGAGGAGGTATAATATTATACGTTAGGGATCACTTTCGTATACAATCAACCATTTCGGAGGCCCATATCAGTGGCATATGTGAGGTTGCATGTTGTAAGATTAAATCTAGAAATGGGTTAGTGACTATAGGGGGAATGTACCGTAGTTCATTTTGTCTTGCTGACGACTTTATCCTAAGACACATCTGTTCTTGGAGTATGGCAGAATGTTGTCTCATCATTGGGGAATTCAACGCACCGCATATCAACTGGACAGAGCTTTTAGCTCCAGGTAGTGGTTTCGACAGCGACCTTTAATCTACTGTGATTCAGTGTGCACTTGTACAGTGTATCACAAAACCGACACATATTGATTTCAATCATGACCCGTCAGTGCTGGACCTCGCCCTCACCCACCACTGTGAGGATGTCTTTGATATTCAGCACCTTCCCCCACTAGTTAACAGTGATCACGTTGTAATTCACTTGACGTTTAGGACACATGGTATACAATTCGTATCTGCTCCACCCCGTCCCAATATCTGGCGAGCCAATATTCAAGCGGTCAGAAACTGTGCTATCTCGACTGATTGGTCGGTCGACGCGGATGAGTTGATCGAAGATTAATGGAATAAGTTTAAGGCTACATTCGAGTCCGTAACGTCACCGTTTATCCCATGGTCAGCACGTAAGCTATCACATTGCCCTCCATGGATTAACAAGGAAACCCGGAAGCTGTTAAAGTGTAGGAAACATTTCTGGGACTTATTCTTGTTGACAGGTCATGCATCATTTAAGCGTGAGTACCGAAAATTCCGTAATATCTGTAAGAAAACCATAGCCAAATCCCGTACCACTTACGAGCAACAGTTAGTATATGATAGCCGTACTTGTCCGAAACGATTGTTTTCGTATGTTAAACGGCGAATGAAACGTAGTGATGGTATTCCCCCGTTACGGTTACACGAAAATTCAGAATTACTAGCTAAATCAGATCGAGCAAAAGCTGAGACTTTTTCAGACTATTTTATCGAAGTCTATTCTACGTTTATTGTAACAAATACTTGTCCCGCCCACACCGAGATACCAACCATGGAATCTGTACAGGTGACTGGGGAAACTGTCATTCCGTTGATAACTAACCTCAAACCTTGTAAAATACCGCATCAGTGAACACTTTCAAGGACAAGCTGGACCTTCACTGGAAAGCAGTGTGTCAGAATTAATACAGGTTCACCAACCTACTATCCTTATTACTGAAGACTGAAAACTGATCAAATGATAGAGATCTTGACAAGCACACAACACACTTGAATAATTCATTCAACTGAGTTGAAGTAATTCACTTGATATTCTCATACTCCATCATTTAACGCTTGACAGCATAATCTTTTCAATGTTTCCACTAATTATCATAGTACTTATCGTGTTACATCTTTTTATTCCTAATATTCGTTAATTTGTTCTTGACACACATTTTCAAGTAACATAACTCTGTATCAAAAACCTATCTCTTACTACTCAAATTCATATCACGGAGAAAAAAGTACTCGTCTAACTCTAACTGTTAGAGTTTAAAGTTTGCCGATTGAGGTGTTTGACCGTATCAACTAAAACCTTATTTGTCTTAAGCGCTTGTTTCGTTTCGAATGATGTCGACTCGAGAATGCCAACAAAATATTCGAGTAGCGGTTCGTTGTCGGTATGTCACTTACATTTAATGTGTTTATTCTGGTTAGGCCCATCAATAAGCAGGAGCTGGAAAAGGCCGTGCGGTCATGTGTGGAGTGTAGCCGGGAAAAAGTAACAGTCAGGGATAAAAGTATGTCAAAGGTTTTCACCTTTGATCATGTCTTCAATCAATACTCGAAGCAAATCGACGTCTACAAAAGCATGGTTGCTCCAATGATTGAAGAAATAATTTTGGGTTATAACTGCACAATTTTCGCGTAAACTTTAATACCTCTAATTAACTTTTACAGTTATGGTCAAACAGGTAGTGGTAAAACATTTACGATGACTGGTGAAAGGTCTGACAAGCTTCGTTATGAGTGGGAAACAGATCCACTCGCAGGGATTATTCCTCGCGCCCTAAGTCACTTGTTTGAAACTCTGCAATCAAATGTATGTTGTCCTTAACGAAAGTAATATTCTTCCAGGGTTCTGACTTTTCTGTTCGCGTATCTTTCCTAGAAGTTTATAATGAAGAGTTATTTGACCTTCTGTCTGCCAGTGAGGATGTCACACGTTTAACAATATACGACGATGTAAACCGTAAGGGCTCTGTTATTGTCAAAGGCCTTCGGGAGGTAGTGGTTTTGGATAAGGATGATGTTTACAGTGTTATTGAGCGAGGAATAGCTAGGCGTCAAACTGCTTGTACTCTTTTAAATGCTCAGTCCAGGTACGTGAGATTTCTTTCTTACTTTTAGTCGCTCGCACTCTATTTTCACAGTTACTGTCCATATAAAGGAGATAAATGCGATTACTAGTGAAGAATTGCTGCGTATTGGAAAATTGCACTTAGTGGACCTTGCTGGCAGTGAAAATGTTGGGAGATCAGGTGCTGTTGAAAAGCGAGCACGTGAGGCCGGGTCAATCAATCAAAGTTTACTGACTCTGGGTCGTGTAATAACTTCACTTGTGGAGCACGCTCCCCATATACCGTATAGAGAAAGTAAACTTACACGTTTGCTACAGGTAACCAAGACCTTCATTGTCTTCAGTTTTTTTCCAGTTAAAAGTCACAATTTAACTTCTGTTGTATAAATGGTTCGAGAAAGCTACAGATAAACCTTTTGTGCACCAGTGAATCATCAGTATATACAATGATATACATTTAAGCACTTTAGGTATTCGATGTCTCTGCATTTCAGTTTCATGTATATACCCCGTAAACGGATTTTTCAGGACGCATAATTTTTTCTATGACTTTCGGACCAGAATATGCAATCTAAAAGATCATGTGCCCATCACTGATACTCGATTGTCACTATTGAATCTTGCCAAAAAGATAAACGTCTCGTTAGTTTTCACTTAACTTTTGGTCTGAATTGTGTCCAATTTCGATTAAGCAGTTTCAATAGAGTACGTGAAGTATTGTGTTGTAGAATGATTAGATTCACAGTATTTGTTGTTCCATAGGCCCTAACCGGAGAATTATTTAGGCTACAGATGATTCACTTTTTTGTGTGACTGTCTGTAAATAAGCAGTTACATGGTTTATCTCAATATCTTACCTTGTGAATAAGAGGTCAAGAGCAGTTCCTCAAACAATCTACTAAGGCATGTGATAGGTGGACTTGTCACCTGTCTACTTACGTCATATATGTCTAACCGTGCCCGTTTATTTTAGGACTCACTTGGAGGACGTACCAAAACCTCAATAATTGCAACTATAAACCCTGCTATGACTTCTTTGGAAGAAACATTATCAACTCTGGACTATGCTCACAGAGCCAAAAACATTGAGAACCGACCTGAAATTAACGCGAGACTTAATAAAACTGATTTGGTGAAGGGTTATAACGAAGAACTAGAACGTTTACGTCGAGACCTTGAAGCTGCAAGAACGAAGAATGGAATTTTCGTAAATGAGGAAAACTATCAGATGTTGCAGTCTCAACTCGCCCAACAAAGAATTCGTATATCGTAAGTCTATCTGTTTATTTGTTTGACTTATGTTTTGTTGAAATAACTTAGCATAAGTGTTGAGTTTCGTATTACACTGTCCACATAATTGTTGAAAAGTACCTCAACTTGGTGACACAGTTTATCACTAGAATATGCCAACTTACTATCATTCTGTAAAAAGACCAGTTAATTATGTGCATATTGAGGCCTCACTGACTAGCCGATATCTTGATGCGACGGTCGGACTTGTCTGTTGTTATGACATAATCGAGCTATATTGCGTAGATCACATGTTCCTTTAGACTCTACCGTCACAGATAGGTCTGTTGGAAAACGATAAAACTAGAAGCAGGAACTTAAGATGTAAGTATAAATTCATTTTTCTCAGTCACTCAGTCATCTACAACGTAGGACCAGGCACATATATGCATCGGTCCAAGTTGCCATACCTCATTAACACAACAAGATGGACACTATTACTTACCCGGTGATCCCAGCAGACGCCAGCAATATTTGTAAGGCATCTGTGGTCAAATACTAATAGCTTACGAGTGTCTTCTACTCTTAATGGCCATGTTTCTCTGCCGTAAATTAAAACAGAACGGACTGTCGCGCAGTATACTCGTTCTTTTATTGATAGACGGATACCTCGCCTTCGCCATAGGTGACGTAAGTTGGCAAAAGCCAAACGAGCTTATCGAATCTGTGCTGAGATTTCGTCAGACACCAACGCATTAGAGCTGATCAGACTTCCAGGATAAGTGAAGTTGTCAACGTGTTCGACTACTACACTCCCTATCCATAGTTCAGGTGTTAATGCAGGCCATTCCTGAAGCAACAACTTGCATTTAGAGGGAGAGAAGCGCATCCCAAACATCCTGGCATTGTTGCTCAGTGCTACCAGAAGACTCTGCATTTTATCAGAGTCTTCACCAAACAGGATTATATCATCTGCGTATTCTAAGTCGATAAGTGAACCTCCTGGAAGGAGATCAATACCCGAGAATTCAGTCGATTAGAATGTTATTTCCATCAATAAGTCTATGATGAAGTTAAACAAAAATGGAGAAAGTGGACAGCCTTGACGGACACCACTTGAGGTTGCAAAAGCAGATGACAGTTCGCCATAAGCTCTGACTCGACTGGTAGTGTTCGAGTAAAGGGCTTTCACAAGGTACGCCTTTCAATGACAGACACTGCCACAGAATCTCGCGGTCTACCGAGTCAAATGCTGCTTTTAAGTCAAGAAAGACCACCATTGTCGGACGCCGATAAGTATGCCTATGTTCTAGAACCTGATGAATGGTAAATATGTGGTCGATGCAGCCACGATCAGGTCTTAAGCCAGCTTGATTCTCTCGTGTTTGCAGTTCACGAGTCTTAGGCGTCTGATAATTATCGAGGCTAGTATTTTAGATACTATATTTGTTAAACTAATCCCTCCATGGTTGTCACAGGATAATTTTAACCCTCTCTTATATATTGGGACGATAAGTGATTGTGATCAGTCAGGTGGGATGACGTCTAACTCCCAGATCTTAGCTAAAATATTAGTCAACCTAATCGCTAAAATTGGACAACCATCCTTAAAGACCTCTGGAGCCAATCCATCTGAACCAGCTGCCTTTCCTCGTTTCAGATTAGCTATACCCTTTTGAACTTCTGCTAGAGTTGGGGACCTACTTCAATGTTCCATTCATATTGTCTGGGAATGGAGGGTAGTTGTAGAGTAGCTGAAGGCCAGTTGAACTGTTCTCTGAAATGTTCCGCCGATCAATCTAAACGTCTGGACTGGAAGCAGATGAGAGTTTACGAGAATCCATCAGTGCAATAGCCCTTGAGGAAATCCATTGGTTCTTTGTAACCCTGTGGCTTAGATCACTGATAGATGTCACTGCTGTTTGTATAGCTTTCCAAGCAACATCTGGGTCATTCTCGTTTTCAGAACTACCTAATTGTGACCTCAGTTGTTCCTGGAACCTACTTTTGGTTTTCTCGCTGCTCAGTTCAGTTCTAATGGGTCTTTTTACTGAGGCTTTTTTGCGTCAGTGAGGGGCAAGCAGATGCGTGCCCGTATTAGAGCATGGTCGGAGTCCAAGCAGGTACTCCAGATTGAGCGACAATCTTCTACCGACTCTCTCCAACGATGACTGATGGCAATATGGTCTATTTGAGTCCATCGTTGGTTTGGTGTAGGGGGCCGCCATGCTAGACGATGTCTCTCCTTATGCTTAAAATTTGTGTTTGCTAAAAATAAACGATTGTCTGAGCACAGTTGCAGCAGACGATAACAATTATCTGTTCGCTGAGCCGGAATACTGAAATACTCACTTAAATGCCTTTCTGTTTGATTTAAACTACCTATCTGGGCATTAAAGTCACCTGCTACGAGTAATATATCTGAACGTTTAGCTTTCTGAAGTTCAGATAGCTTTCTGTAAAATTCATCTTTCATTACATCTGAGCTGCAGTCGGTGGGAGCGTAGGCAGAAACTACAAAAAGGCAACGACGTGTGTCCCTATCCTTCCAAGTTCTTACGTAGCCGTTTAGCCGAACAACACATAAACGACTGTTAACGGGGATCCACTCTAACAGTGCTTGTTCCGCCCTCATGCTTAGTGCTGTGCCTACTCCTGCCAGTCCACGAGAGCTGGCCGTCTGGTCACCAGATACACGGAGGGTGTATCTCGTTGGCTCTCCGTTTTGCCGAGGTGAGGTCAAGTGAATGACCACACCGGGATCCTGTATGTGTGTTTCAGAGACACAGCATACATCAATGGTACGGGATTCTAGGGTTCTAGCCAAGGAAGCCTGTTGACCGATTTGACATAGGGTGCGTACGTTGAAGGCTTCAATGTGTAGTGTGGAGCGAGGTTTCAGTAGACCTGGGACAGTGTTTTGAGCACTAGAATCGTTGGCTGTGGTGACACTTGAGGTGGAAGCAGAGAGAGGAAATTTAGAGTTGAAAGTCGCTGTAAGAGGAATAATAGGAATTGAAGAGGGAGGTTGGTAATGAATACAGTGGTCTTGAGTGCTGTTAGAGGCATGAGGGCGGTTATCACTTCCCAGTTGCCCACACCGTGGAAGGGTTCTTCTGGAGGTACCTGAAAAGGAAATTGGATTAAAGGTGGTCTTAGTGACCTGGGAGCGTGACCGCAGTGCCCAAGGGACAACTGCATGAGGTCGGTCACACATGACCTTTTTATGTTAGCTCCGTACTTGTTGAGACCTTACCGCCCGAGATGGATATCCGTGGGATAAGACGAGGTGTGCATTTTTAGGGTCGACCTTTTCTAACCCCACCCCTCCTTGTTGAAAGGCAGCATCGCTGTCATGCTAGTTGTCTAAAGGAAACACCTTACTGCCGTCACACCTGTGTACAGTCAGCAGTACGACTTCACCTTCGGACCTTGGGTTTGTTGCTTTTAGTCTTACCGCTCTTCAACTGACCTGTCTGACACGGTACGACCTTAAGGAACGGTTGTTCCAGCCAGTATATCTCGGTTGCTTCATCACGATAGGCAACCCCGACCACCACTTCAAGGTAGCAACAACGGTCTACGGAAGTTTATTATTATTTATTTTAACACAGATATTGATACAACGAGGCACCCAATACATATGCGCCATACAAATCTCATTCGATATGTGTAAGGGCTGTGATACTGCCCGGGTGCCCAAACCGAAGCAGGTGGTTTTCTTAGGGGGTCACTCCCTGAGCCTTAGACCTGAAGGTATGATCCACAGAGCAGTGAAGCATCGTAAGGAGATGCAGTCCCATGGAAGCCGGTGACCAACACTTCGTTCCCGCAGAATCCTGGAGCACCATTGGTTTGGAATCCGGTTAGAGCGCCGGACATTCGCTTTTCGTCCTCTCATTTTCGTGAGCACAACCCCCGCCACGAGAAGGCAGTGCGTAGGACTTCCCTGGCAGAGGCTATATACGCGTGGACATGTGAAAGCATTTCGAGAGGGAGAGCGATCTCTCCCCGATATCGGCCGTACCAGGGCATTTGGAGGCAAGTTAGGGTTCGTCCGGGAGTGTGCTGATGGTAACTTGTTTCTGTCTGATAACCGGCATCTGCAGCGACACTATCTTTTCATAATGGAAGGACGGTGTTAGGAAATTTCACACCTCACCTTTCTCATCCCTGGTGGTAAAGCCTTTGAAATACTGTTAGTGGGACATAGACTGGATTAAAGCGTGCTCAATGCACTATCGCTTTGGTGCACGCTGATTATTATTTGAATACATAAATATTGGTACAAGAGAGCGCCAATATATATGCACGCTGATTGGCTAATTCTTATCCAATCAGTGATAGCAGATACTTGGAGAACACTCTAGAACCTTCTCATGTAAAAACTATAAATATACTGACGTTTTTCCCTGTTGTGCATCTTACTTCCATTTAACCTTGTTATTTGGAATATAATCTCTTTCCTGTTCAACCGTGTTCTGATTTGTGGACTTTTCGAGTGAATCGGTGTCCGAGAATACTTAGCAATAGGAATAGCTGGGTCATAACCGTAAGAAAGAGATTATAACAAGTACGAAGGCAATACATTTAAAACTTCGCACGAGAAGACCGAGTATGATTTCCATTAGACACTGCTACTTAGTCTCATCATTCATAATTCTCACGTACTTACAACTAATGGTCAGTTAAATTACATTCGACTGAATAGATTATATCATGTTTTACTTCATTTTTTAAAATAACTAGGTGGGTTTAAAACATTCATTCTAAAACTAGACAGTTTAGATTGCATTAAAAAGTTAACCAACAAAAGAAGTAAAAAATAGTTAAAAAGTAATTTTCTAACCTTTAGCTGAAATTCTGGTTACAAGAATATAAGGAACTATTGGTGACGAAAATGAGTGGTCGTAAAATGTTTAAAGAATTCGAAACCCGCTCTGCCTACTTTGGTCTGTGTCACTAGCTATCACACTGAAAGTGTGGCTCATACTCAAGTACTTAATGAATTAGTTAGTAATGAACGGAATGGCCTATTGTTAAGATCTCTCATTGCTTAGTACTCTTCAGACACCACTTCGCCCGACTAGTTCCCATATCAGAACACGGTTAACTAGAAACGTAATTATACTTCAAATAAACTAGGTTAAATAGTAAGAAGAGTCACAATAACAAAAGCGTTAGTGGGTTGGTAATTTTACACGAGAAGATTCTAATTTTCTCCAGTTATCCGCTGGTGCTGATTGATTACTGAATGGCCAATCAGCGTGCTTCAACACAATCCTGGATGGAACGTGCTTTTATCCAATCAATATCGTGCTAACGCCCACGTTCCTCCTTGGCCAGTGATACCTCCTGGCTGCTCGCATTATGGGAAACATTTTTTTAAGAAATTTCAAAAGTTGATCGATGGTCTAATCTATCTAGGAGCGTAATTGTGTATAAAAGGCCAGCAACGTTGGGGATACTGGTCATCTGTGAAAAAGCTTACTGCCTCTAAATCCTGGTTTGGCAGATAGGATGGATTCACCCTTAAACCTGGGATTTGTTGCTTTTGACCATAGTAATTTTCCAATGATCCCCTTAGTATAATATGATATGGAAAAGCAAGTGTTGATTAGTTGTTAGGGTGTACAAGTTTGATCCGTATGTCATTGTAGCCAGCTACTATCGGCAAGTCGTTCTATTATGTTTAATATTTCTCATCCCATTTAGGTTGCCTTTGATTGAATAAGAGAACTCCAAAATAAATTTAAAACACTGAAATGATATTCACTATCCGTGATTTCTGTTAACAAACAGAGTGATATTTTGAAAAACCTTCCATTCCTTATCGCTTTCAGTAGATATTACAATATGTATGTGTTGTTAGTCTTCATTTTCTTGATATTTTGAATTTCTGACATCTTAGTGAACTTGAAGAAAGACGAGAAATCTTGGAAGAGGAAATCGCTCAAGTTCAAGAATTATTCACTGTTACTCAGGAAGAACTCAGTGAAACTCGGATGCGTAAGGAAGAAGTGGAAAATGAGTTAATCGCTTATGGAAAAGATTTAGTGAGTTCTTTTTCGCTTTTGCAAACCAGTGGATTATTGTATTGCTGTGTGAATTCCTTTATTTATGTTGAAAGTCTTACCAACCCTAGTGAGTTGGATCCTAACGAAGCATTGACACGTATTCAAAAAATCTTTTGGCATCTCGCATCAATTGTGATGTAGGTGAGATGTTCGTCTGCTAACCAAAGAGTGAGTACACTGCGCAGCAGTCTGCTCTTTATTACTTTATGACTCCAAAACATGGCGTATGAAAGTAAAAGATGTATAATCTGTTGTGTTTTGGAACAACTGTGGTAGCAATACTCGGAATTAGGTTTAGGTATAAAGGCGGAGGTCCGCAAAGAACTCCAAGTCTACAAATCACCGGACCCAGATGACTTACCTCCGGCTCTTTTTAAAGATGCTGGTGACTTTCTGACTGAGGAACTGACGACGTTGTTTACAAAAGTCTGGGAACTAGAGAGTGTACCAACGTCATGGAATAAGTCGATATTTGTCCCTATCTTTAAAAAGGGTTCACGTCGTTCCTGTAACAAATATCGAGGGATAAGTCTACTTCTGATTGCGTCCAAGCTATTGGCTTCCGTCATACTTCGTAGGTTGTTCAAAACCCGAGAAAGATTGACTCGCGAGGAGTAGGCTGGTTTTCGTTCTGGTCGAGGATGTATTGATCATATCTTCACCTTCAGCCAATTGTTAGAATACCGTCATATTTATCACTGGCCAACAGTCGTTTATTGAAGAAGGGTGTGCCTGAGAAGTTTAATAACATCCTAAAAGCCCTGTATACAAACACCTCAGGTAGAGTGAGGGCATACAATCACCTTTCGCCATTGTTCCATCCGAGCAGTAGGGTTAGGCAGGGTTGCCCAATCTCATTATTCCTCTCCAACTTTGCCATCGATGACATTCTGGAAACAGCTCTGATGGATGTAAGTAATGGCGGTGTGGATCTGTTGCCTGGAGAAAGACTTCTCGACCTTGAGTATGCGGATGATATTGTCTTAGTGTGTGATAATACCAAGCCATGAAATCTGCGCTTAATCAGTTGGCAATTAGTGTCCTTAAGTACGGTATGTGCTTTGCACCTTAGAAGTGCAAAGTACTTTTACAAGACTGGCAAGATTCTAATCCTGTACTCACCCTGGATGGTGAGCAGATAGAAGTAGTCGAGAACTTCATGCATCCGGGTAGCTGAGTAAGTGCTGGTGATGGTGTGAGTGATGAGATCGATTCAAGTATAGTGAAAGCTAGAGCGTCTTATGCCAACCTGGGCCATCTTTGGTGCCGTCGTGATGTTAGTTTGGCTGTAAAAGGTCGGATCTACAACGCGTCGGTGAGTGCGGTTTTGCTCTATGCTTGTGAAACCTGGCCTCTCCGAGTTGAGGACGTTAGAATACTCTCTGTGTTTGATCATCGCTGTCTCCGAATGATTGCTGACATCCAGTGGCAACACTATGTCAGTAATGCAGAGGTTCGGCATCGTGTGTTCGGGCACAAAGACTATAATGCAATTGGTGTCACCCTCTTGAAACATCGACTTCGGGGGCTTGGACATGTTCTAGGAATGTCGTCCCAGAGAATTCCACGTCGTGCATTGTTTGCTGACGCTGAGACTGGTTGGAAAAAGCGGAGAGGTGGTCGGTGTATGACATGGAGTCGTGGTATGAAAGGATGCTGCAAAGGACTGGCTTGTGTCGGTCCTTCACGACTCCTTGGTTGGGGTCCGAGAGATGGTGCTACACAGTAGCTAGAGACGTTATCAGATATGGCTCAGAATAGAAGCCATTGGCGATCCTGCTGTAACCTTTTACTTTCTTCATAAAAGTGGTTGTGTCTCCGTTAACTGAAAGATTTCTTCTGATTGTACCTTTCCGTTTCCCCCATTACTATTACACTACCACACACTAATCTGTGGTCGTCATTGTTTTCTTTTTTTCTTTCTCTCTTGTACGCACCTTACATTCTTTTTCTCCTCCCATTCTCATTGTTATTATGTGGCGCATATATATCTGGTACCCCCTTGTACCGATATTTACGTGTTCAAATAAATAAATAAGCTTTTATCCACCATGTACCCTTACCCGCACATGCTTTTGTACGTGTCAATTTATAAAGCCCTTCACCTAACCTATTTAGCAGACTGTTAATTTAATTTTAAATGTCACCTATATTCATATCCTCATACCAAGAATTACTTTCGATCAACCATCCGTATATTCACTTATATCACTTACTAGCCTAAATGTTGGTTACTTAAATCTCTTGATGACTCACTTTCATGTCCACACATCTTGTCGAGCTACATTCCTTAATTTGTCTCGTTCTGCGCGTACTAGTCGTTTGCTTAATATGTGCCTAGAATAAACTTGCCGCAACCTCGTCTGAAAATCGTGCACCGTTGGCAGTCATTTCAATAACAACTCTCAATTTGGACAATATATGAATTATAGGAATAGTCTCGACGATATCCCGCAGCAGCACTTGGTTAACAAGCAATGTCTATGTTATTTGGCAGGCGAATCACAATTCAATTCTTTCGTAAGCCAGAAATGCTGAAAAATCACATTTTCTATCACTTTCGCCATTGCACTTTTATGAAAGCTTTATCTACTACTTTTAGGAAAATCTGCGCGTGCGTTTTTTGAAATTAAAAATGCGTTATGAAGAAACGGATTATTTACGCCAAGAACACAAGAAAACGGAATCGCGTCTCCATGAACAGGCAAAATCATTATTATCAACAACTGATTCAGCCGTTTGTGATGTGAATGGTCTGCATCAAAAACTGGTTCGCTTATCTGACCTTGATAAAGAAAACCGTGAACGTCTGCATACATTGCATAATAGTTGGTTGCCTGAGCGTCTGACCCCAATAGCACGTGACCTTCAAACGCTTGCTACACAAGTGAAGGACTTCTGCCTATTTGTTCAGGATAGTACAAGTAAGTAAAAATATTGTATGCAATTACATAGGAATCCATGTATTTTAAATCCACCAAGTTAAATTATAAGAAAGTTCACTGACCTTTGGCAGATACACTAATACTGTTGCTTTTCACTTGTAAAAGTGCTTGATATTTGATCAGTACCTTAAGTTTGAATCAAGATACATTTACTGATTAGGTCACTTTTTTGATAACGTGATTATTTGGTGGGATATTGTTGATGACTGCCATGCTAAATATGATATCAAAACTCAGCATTATCCAGCTGTAAACTTGCTTACATGTAGTAGATTTAGATGTTTATCGGACTCATGTATCATTTTGGTAAGCCTTGTTACTTCATTTGTTCATTCATAGTACACATAACATTATCTTATATTAAAACACCAAAATAATCTACCATACATTAAAAAGGTAAAAGAGAGAGGGGTCATGATATCAGTAACTAATATGGACAAGACTTGTATTTAATAAAAGATGCAATTTACTTCAAAATATACTCAATAGAGATTTCCAGTTCATGTGATTCGCTTTACTGCTTCGGTTCGGGCACCCGGGCAATATCACAGCCCTCACACAAATCAAATGAGATTTGTGTGACTCATATGTATCTGGTGCCCCCTTGTACCAATATTTATGTCTTCGAATAAATAAATAAATAAATATGAATAATTTAATGAAAAACCCCAGGAACGCCACTGGCCTTTATTCAGAGCCATTTCCATCCAAAACTACTAAATTGCACAATCCTTTTAACCCTAGTCAAAGAGCTAACAGGCACCAATTTTATACAACTATCATACCATCACGTCATATAATAAACTGATCGCCTCTGTTTTCCATAGAGTCCCAGCTTTAATTTACATAAGACACATCCAATCTATCAAAGTCGATGTTCTTAAATGTCAAGAAGTTACAAGCCTAAAACAGCTGCTCTCGCGAACACATTTTAAACTCAATCTTAAACAACCAACGATGATACCAAAGACAGTCTAGATCAACACAAGTTTCCACTTTATGTAGATTGATCTCATCTAAAATCTCATCACTAGCATTCACAAAACTACCCAGATACATGATCTTTCTTGTCGTTCTCCATAAAAGACAGGCAACTTGTAGTCATTCAGGAGAACTACCCATTTTCAAGATGGGAGATGCATCTCATGCTTACGGACACTGCTAACTGGTTAGGTCCGACTTGGATATTCTGTGTGTCATCTCACTGTAAGACTGTCACCTTATTCAATACAAACGATGGGTTTTTTTCTGAACGCTGAATCTGACTGGGTTGTATAATAGAGTTTAGTGAAAAGCGAAGATATATACAGAGGTTTCTCTCTTAAAAACTTGGTATTTTAAATTGAATTTCCTTCCTGTCACTACTGATGTGCTCTACAAAACTGTTACTCAAATGAAATACTTATTGAGTTCCTATCCAGATTAAAATACTTTGAAAACAGTATCCATAGATTTCGACTAGAATTTCAGTATTACTTGTCCTTAGAAATAAATTGGCAACTTAAATACCTTAAATTATTCTATAGGGTTACAAAAATGTAGTGTTACTAACATTATCAAATGAATGTGAAAGACGTTATTGGAATTTCTGACTGGTCGGTTGGATAATATCGCTCTCCTTTACATAAAGAAGGTGTTCCAATTCTAGATATAACATTTATTTACTAAATCATCCTGTCAAGTAACTGTTAATCCTCAACATTGGCTATCAACAAATAAACAACCACTTAGGGATGGATACTACAGAAATTCGTACTTACTAGTTTTTGTGAATATTAATTAATCAATTCAGTTCCTTGAACTACTACAAAATCAATATCGTGATTAAATGTTTCTCAATAACAACTGACGTTTCTGGTCATCCTGTCATAACAACCATATCTTGCTATGATCAAGCCACTGATGTTTGTAGTATTTACAATGAGTTTGTAAATTTATAGCTAATGGTTCATCATCGATTGGTTAAGCTACTTGAAAATATGCTGTACATACTTAAAAATACTTGTGTCGTTTCTAGTTTGTTTTCATGCCTAGCAAATTAATATTTCAATATTTAGTCTAAGTTTTCACATTATTTTGTTTCCTAATATGTTTATTTTCAGGTAATTTGAAGGAGAAAGTCATGCTGTCTACTTGTAACGCAGTCAGGGTGCAACGAGAAATGGTAAAAGAACTACGAACTTTCCTGGCCAATGAGTGTATCACCGCCGCCAACCAAATTAACAAATTTGCTGAAGAACAAGCCACTGAAGCAAAGACTGGTCGTGATACTATCATAGTTCCACAGTTTGAATGTCTTCAGAAACTTGTTACATCTCTGTCTATTGGTGCAGATGAACTGGATCAATGTTTGCTCAATCAGGTATGTACTCCTGTGTTCTGTTGTACACATGTCTCGTTATCAATATATATCAGTATAATTAATACAGATTGTTGAAGGTCACAATTTGAATTTCAGTTCGTATAGCTTGCTCTACATGTCGTTTTTTTCACTTTCTGTTCTAACCAGATTTGTGTTGGTTCTCTTAGGATAATCAGAGAGGATTTTTTCAGAACTGCAAATTTACTTGTTTTCACAACATTGATTTCCTACTGACTTGTATTTGCATCATTTTTCCGTACAGTTTGATGCTTACCAAATATCAAATCAGGAATTGGATTATGCTATAAAACAACTAGACAATTTCGCTTCATTGTCCTCTGGTTTTGTGCATGATGAAATGAAACATGACATGGCTATACAAAATCAAATGGTTTCTTATAGAACACAGTATGGGAATCTGCTTAATGTAAGTAGCGACGTATATATATTGTTTCGTAAATTCACATGGTCGTATGTAGATTTATGCCATCTTTGAGTAATAAAATCTGTCTGTAGAACTACGTAGTTACATTATAAGTAGAGGTTATTGTATATGACTGAGATCTACGTAAATTTTCACAGGATTTATTTTTGATTTCATTGATGATAGGTTGTATTTGTAAACATACTGAGTCACTTTCCAGTGCTAAGTCATACTGCTGAATGCGCTATTTACTCATATTGTACGAACAGTCCCATTGGTTTTAACTGAATTTTTGTACACAAATAGAGGATTCAGTTAATATTTTTTCTAAATATAATACTAATAAGAACTCCATTAAGCTACTAGTACATAGTATACTTTGTGTACACCACATGAATAACCAGTTTATAGGCTAACTGTATTACTAAATGACTAGATGGACAGTGCTTATGCTAACAGAGATTTAATTAATTAAAATTGGTAAAGCTATGAATGATTTAGAATTGTTTCATTCTCAGGAACTACTGCCTTCGCTAAATTAAAAAATCTATGAGCATTCGGAAGATAAAAATTAATCTGTAATTTCTTTCTTCATGTATCTTGTAATAAAAGAAATCAACAGACGGGGACTTTATTTGATATTTTATCATTTTATAAACATTTTGTTGCCTCACTTATTGTTTTGTAGCAATTTGAACTGGTTCATTATGATACCATGATTCACATTTCTATTCACAGTATTTGTTTTGTTTTTAAAAGTCACCTTACTATTCATATTTTGACATCTTAGGAATTAGAATCCACAACTAACAAATTGAAGAATTTGATGGCAAGCCATGATGAGGTAAGCTTATTTAATAGTTTTTAACTCTCTGCTCTTCTATTCTCATGTTTTATAATATGTTGCTGTTGCTTCATACAAACGTTTTAACAGAGATGCTCATTTTATACTTCTTGCAGTTCAGCTATTAAATAACTTCATTTCACAAACTGTTCAGCAACATTAGGCACTTGTTAAATTCTCAAATACTGTATCCAACCTTTATGCTTCACTTCTCCAACGAAATTATCAGTATATAATTACCACAGAGAACAATAAGTTGTGGTCCCTAATATACTGATATTTCCCGCTTGTTTTTGAGTCAGTAGGAAACATCGACTTGTTGTTCCTTTGATTCTATAACATTTCGGAGCTAAAATTAACTAAATAATCAATTCCTTTTTCCATATACGTAATCACATTTAAGTTGTTTAGACAACTATTAGTTTAGTGACGTTGAAAACAGATTACTGTATTACTCCACTATGTCTTCTTGTTTTTAAGCTTGTTACTAACATTGTTATCGGTTAGAAACATCATTCCCGTTGACAATTTATATGGTTTAAAATATAGGAAGGGCAGATATGTGACTCTGTACTCTGGTGTACACATCAGCAAAATGCTCTATTCCGTTTGAGACATCAGAAATATATATATATATATATATATATATATATATATATATATATATAATATCGTGACAATGCTTTGTCATTTCTGATGTCTCAAACGGAATGGAGCATTTTGCTGGTCTTCATCTTTCAAACATTGTCATAATAATTCTTTTTCTTTATACTAACAGCTGTCATTTGAACTGTCATCAAGATCTTCTCGTCTAACAGAATTCTCAAGATCGAGTCAGAATGAAGTTGAAAAACTGAAATCGTCTCTGTCCAATAAACAAGAAAAAATCTTACAAGATGTTTGTAAAGCCCACGATTCAAATAGGTTGTCCATTAATCGTTTGAAGGAAGTTACGAATACTGTTTCACATAACCACGAAAGTCTAAAAGGCGAACTGGAAAATTGTATGAATAATGTATGCAAGAGCGTTGAACAATTTGCTGCTGATGGTCTTGGTGCGGATTTTTTGAAAAAAGCTTCAATCTGGCAGTCGGCTAACGAAAATCGTAGTGATTATAACTTATTTGATCATACGACAAAAATGATACACATCATGAGTAATAATCTTTTTACTTCTCTTCAAGAACCCACTCGCATTCTTCTTGGCCTAGAAGGTGCAGGCAGTGATCGTAGTATTGAGGTAAGTTTCGAAGTGATTTCGCACTATTGTTAGTCATAAAAATTTTCCTGGCTCTTCATCATGTATTTTTATATCTTCATTAAATTTCAAGTTCAGTGAAAGTTTCCAACTGATTGGGACAAATTTGTATGTTATGCCGAATGAAATGGAAGATATATTGAATAGGAGATATCGTATTTATGTTCCAACGGGGGAAACACCTCAATCCCGAAAGTTTTCCTATCCAACGGAATTCGCTAAAACAGGCCCTTATCACCGCATATTAAAAGCGTATCGTTCCAATAGAACAATTGAAGATATTAATAATTTGGCTACAATTCCTATTCCAGACGAAGACCTGTCATTTACTGCTGATTGCAACGAGTCTACGTTCATTGAAGATCAGATAACAACTCTTCAACCTGAGCTTAATAAAGATAACTGTGATTGTATCTCAGTTTCTACAAATGGGCCGGTAAGTTGTCAAATATTTTCCGATTTCGTTTTATTTAAATAATCCAAGTGGAGTATTTTAAAAAGTAATTGATACGTTTTACATCTTTTCGGCAGTCTACATCAAATTAAATCATTCAGTGAAATTGATTGTTTCTGATAGTTATGCGTATACTTTGCTAAGTTGTTCGGAACAGCTTACCATTCGAATCTCTATAAGAATTGATTACTGTAACTCAGCAAACAGTTACACTCTAGGATATTGAACCATCTAGCCAATGAACTTTCACGATAAATAATCTTCCATCTTGGATCCTATTACCAGAATAACTTTGAAAAATTGCTTTATTAATCTTTTATTGATAAATTTAATCACACTAGTTGTTTCCAATTTTAGGACTCTGGGATTGTTTCTGAACCCAATGCTGTAAAAGAAAAGGTCAGTTCCCGTTTTTATTTCGATCTTATTCAATGGAGGTGGAATTATGTGAATTCATTTTATTCCGTTGTTTCTCCTTAGCTCAGCATTGTTATTTAAATACTATACAGTAGACATTAGTAACTAAATTATTAAAATGACGATGATTGTCATTATAATATTATCTATATAATTAATAAGAGTTTGTAAGGTAGATTAAAAATAGGAATGGACGAAGTAGAGTGCTAAAGCAGTTTGTATCATGAGTGGAAAAGATCATGTTAGATTGCGTATAAATTATTGGAAATTCGAAAAGTGTACATGAGTTTAAGAATTCGTTAAGTGAAAAGATAATTTCGAAATAAATAAAATAACACTATTGTGCAGAAAATATGAAAATTATGAATTCATCATAGTATTTAGAAACTGACAATTGACTCTTTCTGAATACACAACTGGTTTGAGTTTTTTAATAATAGTCACTTCAGTAAGGTGTAAAGCAGTTGCATTTTTATCTGTTGATAATTTCAAAACATTTATGAATGTCAATAATATTGCTCTCTATAGATTTTGTTGAGCCATTGGGCTATTCAGAGCTGCGACACTTTTCAATCTCAAATCTATTTAAATGAAAACATTTACTGTTCTCTGTGTTCTTTCAGTGTATGTGCTTTGACACGTGCACAGGAATCAATATATAACCTGTGAAGGTTACTCACCTAACATTTATGCAAATTGTTGTTTCTAAAGTATCAGTCAGTCAGCCAGTAACAACGTAGAACTTCGTTCGTACGTACGTACATCAGTTCGAGTTGCCATACCACATTAGCACAGATATGCAGTTGTCGATTCAAATCCCGTACTAAGAGTATAAGCAGTAATCGGGAAGATTAGGGGTGACCAACTTGGTCTCGTGTGCTGTTACGGGTATGAGGGCTGGTGTCACTTCCCGGCTGCCCACACCGTGGAAGGGTATTTCTTGAGGAACCTGTAAAGGAAATCGGATTAATGCCGGCCTTAACGGCCTGGGAGCCTGACCGCAGAGCCCAGGGAACAATTGCTTGAGGCCGATCGCGCACGGTATTTTTGTAGGAGGTTTTTAATGTGTTAGCTCTGTTCTTCAAAGGGCCTTACCGCCGGAGACAGAAATGCGTGAGGTAAGGTGAGGTGTGACATTTTTAGGGTTAACCTTTTCTAACCCCTTCCTTCCTTGTGAGAAGGCAACATCGCTGTAGATGCTGGTTGTCCGAGGGAAACACCTTACTGCTGTCACCTCTCAACGCTAGGGCAAACGATTCGAGTACGCGGAACGTTATTCCCGGTATCCTGAAATCACTCTCTAAACTACATGTAAGAGCTTTTAACGTACGAACACTGTGCCAAATAGGACAACAGGCTTCCTTAGCTAGGACTTTAGAATCTCGCGCCATCGATGTGTGCTGCGTCTCCGAAACGCGCATACAGGATCCCAGTAGCGTCATTCATTTGACATCACCATGTCAAAACAAAGAACCACGACGATTTCGCCCTCAGACCTTAAGTTGCTGTTTTTAGTCTTACCGTTCTCCAATCGACCTGCCTGGCATGGTAGAACCTACGAAAACATATGTTCCTGCCAATATAGCTCGGTTGGGTCTACACGATAGGCAAGCCCGACTACTGCGTCAAGGTAGCGGCTACCGTCGGGGTTTCTAAAGTATACTGAAGAATCGACGGATTTCAAGCAAATGCGTTTGTAAGAAATTATGTCCTAGACACTGTCTTTGTGATTTTACATATTTTGCTTACTGAAATTTTGTTTTTACGACAAAATCACAAAGATGAGCAGACACTCTGATTAAGAACTTAAGGGGTTTGATCAGTGAAGCTTCATTACGACAAACGTATTTCTACTTTCTGTGGGCCCGACTGTTACCGCTACCTTAACGTACGTACTGGTCGTGCTCGCCTATCCTGATGTGCCAGTCGGACTATACTGACTGCAACAATCGTTCCTTAAAGCCCTACCATGTCAAACAGATCGGTTGAAAAGCGGCAAACTCAAGGCCTAAGAGCGAAATCGTACTGCTTATTGTACAGAGGTGTTACAGTTGTAAAGTGTCTCCCTCAGATAACCAGCGAGGCAGTGGTGATGCCTTCTCACAAAGGACGGGGGGGTAGAAAAAGTCTCCCCTAAAAACGCACACTTTGCCTTATCCGACGGTAAGGTCACAACAAGTATGGAGCTAATACGAAAAGGTCGTGTATGTCCGGCCTCAAGCAGTTGTGTTTTGGGCACTGCGGTGACGCGCTCAGGTCACTAGGACCAACTCTAACCCTATTTCTTTTTCAGGTACCTCTAGAAGAACTCTCACGGTGTGGGCAACTGGGAAGTGATAACGCCCTCACACCTCTAACAGCACTCCAGGTCACTGTATTCATAATCCCTCTTCAATTCCTATTATTCCTTCTGCCTCGACATTCAACTCTAAACTTCTTCCTCAAGTGTCACCATGGACGACGACTAGTGCGCGAAACACTGTCCCGCGTCTACTGAAACCTTGCTTAAAACTACACACCAGAGCCTTCAACGTATGTCAAGGCGGCCGGCTGGCCTCCTTGACTGAAATCCTAGAATCTCGTACCATTAATGTATGTTGTGTCTACGAAACACGCATGCAGGATCCTAGTGTGATCATTCACTTGACCTCATCTAGCCAAGACGAGGAGTCGACAAGATACATTCTCCGTTTATTTAACGATCCGATGGCAAGCTCTCGTGGGCTGGCAAGCACTTCAAAAATTGGATCCTGTTAATAGTCGCCTATGTGCTGTTTGGCTAAACGTTTCCTTAAAAACTCGGGAGGATAGGGATACAAGTCGTTGCCTTTTCATCATTCCTGCCTACACTCCCACTGACTTCAGCTTGAATGAAATGAAAGACGAATTTTACAGAAAGCTTTTTGAGCTACTGTAGATTTTCTCATTATTTTCATTTGTGAGTATACGTTCTAAGTATCCATCATTCTTTTTTCTTTTCACTTCGTTATTTTTTACGTTCTGTTTGTTACCCTACATTTAGACTGTCACTCAACAACTGCAAACCTCCATACATGATAGTGAAAAGCCAACAAAAGTTGTTAATTCGCTTGGCAAATGTAAAAATAACCCGAAAGTACGTGGTAAGAATCAACGCATTAAACGGTGAAATGCCTAGTGATACGAAGACTCATTTATTTGCTTTCAAACTAAGCTTTTGAACGCCGTATATTTTACTCATGTTTTAATATCCTTGTACATTCTTTGAGTATCTCCGTTACTAATAATTATCGATTTATTCTATGACATTAATTGTTTCATTCAAATATAATTTTCTGTCTTCAATAAAATTTGTTGAACTTAAACGTGTAATCATTTCTCTCCTTTAATGACTGAGGTTGGGTTATTGTACGCACTTTTATTTTACGTAAATACTGGATTTTGAATCCTGGGATTGTTAAACAAACTAATATTCCTGTGATTTTCCGAAGTGACATCAAAAGAAGTTTAAATTTCCAAAAAGGACTGGCAGTACTTCATTAAAGTTAAACTATATGGCTGTTAGAAGTCCATGTTGGAAATAAGAATTCGTCGGGAGCTATTGAACATGTTGTACATTAGACTTAGTTTCCCATTTAATCAGAAAAGCGTGGTGCACTCCGTGTTAGTGTAAACAAACTTCATTTTTGTTTCCAATTACCGCTTTAATAGGATAATTAGACACAACTCTATACTAACAATTATCATGTGCTCACCAGTGACCAAATTCGAGAGGTTATTATCAGAGTTCTACTGAGAAGCTGTGATCGGGTGTGAGGCAGTACCTCACCGAGGATGGTCACGCAATATTGTGTACTGGTTGGAGCCCCCAAATGCCCTGGTACGGCCGAGAGTCCGCTCTCCCTCTCGAAATGCTCTCACATGGCCACGCGTATATAGCCTCTGTCAGGGAAGTCCTACTCACTGCCTTCTCGTGGCGGAGGTGTTGTTTACGAAAATGAGAGGACGAAAAGCGAATGTCCAGCGCTTTAACCGGATTCCAAACCAATGGTGCACATGGGCTCCAGTATCCTGTGGGAACAAATGGCGTATGAACCAATTGTTGGTCACCGGTTCTCATGGGACGGCATCTCCTTACGATGCTCCACTTCCTTGTGGATCAGACCCTCAGGTCGAAGGCTCGGGGTGTGGCCCTCTAAGAAAACCACCTGCTTTGGTTTGGGCACCCGGGCAGTATCACAGCCCTCAAACATATCAAATGAGATTTGTGTGGCGCATACGTATTTGGTGCCTCCTTGTACCAATATCTATGTGTTGAAATAAATAAATAAACTGGTTGGAGTTAGACGCCGGCTCAGTGGTTTAGAGGTTAAGCTTCCGCTTGAGACCGGAAGTGCGGGATTGTGCATGCAAATTGCTGGGGAGCCCCATGCTAGAACGAAACGGTTGACCAGTGCTTCCAGGTTCTCAATGTTGGTCTAACATTTGTCGACTCATGGTCTCAATCAAAACAATTTATGCCCCGTCACATTATTAAAATCCGGCAATGAACGTCCTTGATTCTAGATCTTCCTTACATATGCATTATTGCAATTCTCCATCCTAAAATTATGTTTTCCTTCATAGTGTGTGCCATCAAAGCAATGAACTTTCTTCCCAACTCCGATGGTTCCAGTCTACAGGTACCACGAAAGTTGGCTTTTGTAACCTATTTATGTCGACATAGTACGTAGACTATTTTACATACAGCGGAACACCTAGAAGTCAATCACAAAATGATGCACATTGTTGCTTGCGTTCCTGTCATTGTTTTAACCACTTCTGACAATCTAGTGAAGTAGATACCATTCGGTCGTACTAGACTTTTCGTTATTTACGACAGTCCTGCTCTTGGTCTTTGAAGCTCTTACAATCCGTATGAATATTCTTAATATTTAGAATTTTATGCTGTCGAGTAGATTTTGTGAGCTATGAATTCCGAGTAGTCCTTGAGTCTCCCTAGAATACATCTTTTACGACGAAGTGAAGACTTAACTTGTTTGTTTAGATTCTACTTACATTTAACCACCCAACATAACATCTCGAAATGCGCGCATCCAATCCAACACTTGCATCAGCATCTGAACAGGCTGCGGAAAGAGAATAATCGTTAAGATATACGGGAAATAACTAACCTAAATGCCCATCTTTATACATTTTCGTTCAGTCATACCCGTTAATCCCCACCAACTGGTCAAGTACAGCCTATAAACCCAGTGAAACTGCGAGATTGAGTTTCGTGACTATCTATGTAAATATTCCGAGACGTAATTATTTTGCTGCCATAACGGCATATTGGTTTATCTACACAGAAAAAACTACGTAGACTCTACCAAGTGAATGCGACGTATTATGTCCATCGGAACTAATGTTCTGTAAGTAGGCTCCTAACTAGATACTTTATGTAAGTTACTGAGTGCTTATTATGAGTCTGAAGTTACTATTTGAACGGTACCATACATCCGTACGAAAGTGCGAGACAAGGTTGACGTGAAGAAAGCAGAAACCTGATGCTTATACAATTGAGGTTAATCGGAATGTTCTGAAACTGTTCATATCTGCCCAAAACGACAGTTATCCGAAGGTCAATTATCTTGGTGTTACCTTTTCCTCTGATCTCTCTTGGTCTTCTCGTTTTATTGTTATCGAAGGTTTTCCGTCTGACTTACTACGTAAAGAGACTGCATACTCTTGGGATTACTCGTCATTTACTCTTACAATCTGTCAGTTCTTGCCTATCACCTATTATTTTTTACCGCTCTCCATTATTCTTTCCCAGGCTTTTGAGAAAACATTTTGATGTATTTCTGAGAGTGCAGAAGGCGGTTAGCAAGGTATGTGGCGAATCTTTTCAGGCCATAGTTAATATAGTTGTGGCAGGTGTTATTTTATCAGATAATAACCATCTCTTCACTCATATCTTTCTCCTTGTATATCTACCGGTAGAACGAGACGTAATTACATTGAAATCCAAGCACGCAAGCAAAAGTATAAAAGTTCTTCAATACCTTACCTAGCAAATATACTCTGACGAGCAGGTTGTTAGAGTTAACCTAGTCAATAACCTGCATCCTTAACATGTCTATAATTTGAAAAGTTCTACATTTTTTTCAAACCTTTTTTCTTTTTTGTCTTCGTTTCTGTTTTTTGCGTAAGAACCTTGTTGAAATACCCTGTGCCAAGAATTCTATATTGTACCAAAATATAATATTGAATAAAGCCATTAAAAATTTTTAAAAAAAAAGCTAGTTCTAAACTTCTGTACGAAAACACTATCGTGTAATATTATACAAAACGGAATAGTTTCAAGCCAAAGGTCAGTCTATGAGGCAGGACGACACTAAACCATTGTGTGAAGCCCGCTAATTCACAAATCATGCTATACCACACTAGCTATCAACTATTATTTCAACTAACTTAAACAGCTAGGAAGTACACTACAGCATGAATATCTAGTTCCACATTATAAAACTACATATTCTGCCAACTCATCCCATGCAAAATAAAGACTAGTTCATCCAATCAATACAGCTTGTTATATGTTATATGAACGTAACTAACAAATTTTGCAGTACTAGGTTTTGGAAATCAACCCTGAAAATCCTATTGGGAAGTTTAAATGCAGAATAGGCCCGGATATTGTTGGTCCTGTAGAGGTTTCATGATGAACGATTTTCTGAGCGACGAAAGTGAGACAAACTACCAAATAACAATCACCATTTGAGATGACAGGAAGTACGGTGTGACTCTTATCACTCGAATATACACTCTACTGTTAATACATCATGGACAAGATATTAAGACACCCCAGATGACTACTACTGTATGGCTATCAAACTAAGCTCTTATATAACTGAACGGTCAGTCTCGAAGTTGAGTACTCTGACTTGTCTTCAAAACATTTTTTCACATACCTGAACGTCATATATTCGTCCTATTTACTTAACATTTGTCATCCTAATCAGTTCAACAAAATGTAATCTGCAGTCAATGAAAAAGAAAATATATAGCCATCAGAATATATTTAAGCTAGCTTTAACGGTATGATTTCTGGTATCTTGCACGAGCTCCGGAACCGCCAAACTTCTTTGGTTCACACCTTCTTGGGTCAGCAACTAACAAGCTTCTGTCATACTGAACGAACTTCTCCTTAATTATATTTTTAGAACACTCATCGACGTATTTTTGATGGAATGCTACGACTGATTTAGCAATAGCTTGCCTGACAGCATATATCTGAGCCACTCGACCACCACCACTGACCCGAACTCTGATGTCCAAAGTAGATAATCCGTGTTTTCCAAGGAGTAGGATTGGCTCCATTAGTTTGGGTAACAAAGGACGTGGTTCCAGTACATCCAATGGTCTGCCGTTCACTCTGATGGTTCCAGACCCGAGTTTACAATGAGCGACAGCTGTTGCTGTTTTCTATAATACATGAGAGGCCTAAACATATAAATTACCTTCCGCCCAAACACTTGTACTGCCTTAGGTTTCTCTTTCGGTTGGTTGGATACAGTCTGCATTGTAGTGTCTGCGGAACGTGAAGAAACTGCAAGTCGCGCCTTGAATCAAACTAACATGTACAGTACCACGAAAACTGTGCTCAATGAATTTTCTAAAATCCTATAAGGATCTAACATTAACTAAAAAACTTTCATTAAACTGCAAATTTTTATTCAAAAACACGGGTGTGCAAAATACACAAAAATAAAGATAGAATGGTTTTCGATCCCAAGCTTTAATTTTAAAACTTTTTCTCCAGATAATTAGTTTGGAAGTTTTAAGTTCACTAATTCTTGTCTATTTTCGCATTTATTGTTCTCCTCAAATCATACTACTTTATTTCTTCTTTGTTTTCCGTATATCGATCTTGAGGTATTCTGATGCCTCCATCATAGATATTCTGCCTACTCATTTTTAGTCTCAGGATTCCTAAATTGTGTTCTGAAGACTATCACAGGTTTAGTACGCCATTTAAGTTCTTGCAAGCCATGATGGAAACAGGCACATTTGATTGCATTATGCGACTATGACGATCGTTCCCTTGGTCAATATTGTGATTGTAGAATCTCCCAGAAGTTGACTTATGTATATCGCTACTCAGTACTATATACTTTCAACATATATAGTTTTAAGTAGTGACGAGCCGTGTGTGGTCCGGCCATATATTTTCGAAGCCTATTTCGTAAGTGAAATTCAGGCGTCATGAAATCAGAATGACCTTTGAGTGGTGAGATTAGCGATGCTCAAGGACTGTAGTTTTGCATGTTAGTGTTAGCAACAGTACTAATTCGAGGTAAATAATAAGGGGCAAGCCGTATGG